ATATTTAAAATTACTTCAGTGAAAAAATTAACTAATTTAGAAATAATATTCTTGTATGGAAGCATTGGCGAGCCCATTAGTATTTAGGTCTTAGTTTAAATTCTAAACATACTTAACCTTTACACTATATAGACTATTTTAATACGACATTAATTTACACAAGTCTTTCAAAGTATAATTAAAATTGACATATCGTTGTCAGAGGCAAAATTTAAAGTAATATATTTTAAAGTTGCCCTCAAAAAACGGCCTCAACTTATTTTCATTCTTATTTTATGTATACATTTATTTTTCTAAGAAACATAAAAATGCCTTTGACCAGTATGATTTTTGACATGCCATATAAATTCGAGAAATTAGCTTAAAATATGCGTATGTTTTGTAGAAACTCTCTCTCCACATCTTCTACTTCAGAATAGAATGACAGTAGTGAAAATGTGGTATAATGTAATTGGCACAAACCTCTTTTCGAAAACCAGTCGAGAATCAGCGCCCTTTACGGTGAATGTAATTCCATTTTTTTTTTATTAAACACATGTATTGATCCGTCACTTCCCTCAGTATAATTTGTTTTGTCTCGTCTATGAATCTATCGTTAAATAACCAAGGTTCAATCTAATGTTTAAACTACAGCAGTTTAACAAAAAAAGCAATACTTAAAATGTAGATATCCCTTATTTTCGTGTATAATTAACCGAAATACACTCACTCGATGTAAATTAGGCTAAAATAATTGCATGAAATTGACTCGGTATTAAAAATAAATTTTACATTTTGAGTCTTACTTTGGCAACATAAGAGTAATATTGCCAAAGCTACCAACGCTGACTTTAAAAGTATTACTTGCAATATCTAAAAGATATTGACAACCCTGATATTCCTTAATTAAGAAAATCCTTGGTGTGCGGGCAGTACAATAATGGAATGCCCACTTTCTAATAAGTTTAAATTGTTTGTGTTAATTGAGATTTTATGATTAAAGGATTTAAATTTGATACAGTGTAGTGAAAGAACGTGTGTTATGGCTCTCTAACACAAAGGGAGGATCATCTGACCATGCAAGATCATGCCTGGCGGACCGCAGTCCAACGGTTGACGTTGGGATAAATACAATGGTTACTGTGCATACACACAAAGACAACTAACATATTTTTCTGTGTATAATATCATAAATACCATACTGCAATAGTGATATCTATATACAACTGGCGTTACAACAATACGTTTTAACAAAAATTGTTGTCTATAGTTATGTTAAGTTGTACTAGCTTATTTAACACAACGTAATCACATTGGTTTTCCCATCGCCGCAAAAAGTCGTCATACCTCAAACGCTTTTTTTTTTAAATAATGACTACATATTGTACAAGAATTAAGCTACACACAATCCAGAATACAATATTTTAAACAATAAACATAATGTGCTTACTTCAACAACAACTTTTTACCCGACTGCTAAGGGCGCGTATCTTGTATGTTTGTTTATTAACTCGTATCTTCCAAATTGCTGTATGGATTTTGAGAGTTAGGGTATTGTTTCATCCGTCTCAAAAAGCCAAGTGTCCTTAGACGGCTTTTTGAAAAAAATGGGGGATTTTAGCCGCAAAATAGTATATACATTAATAAAAAAATAACCAAACCTATCGAGTAGGGTAACAAGATCAAGAAAATTGAAAGGGTACAAATCTGCCAGTGAAAGTCCCGTCGAAATCTCCAGCCGTTCCAGAGATTACCCGGAACAAACAGACAGACAGACAAACAGACAGACAGACAAAAATTGTAAAAAATGTTATTTTGGCATATGTACCATGTAAACATACATATGCATTTAGTAAAAAGCGGTTATTTTAATATTACAAACAGACACTCCAATTTTATTTATTTGTATAGATATATATATGTATGTATGTATATATGTATATTTATATATCTATAATATGAATCCATGAAACGGTTCCAACGATTTCATGAAATTTAGTATGGGTTTCGGGGGCGATTAATCCATCTTGCTAGGTTTCATTTTTAAAGAATTTACTTTAAATTAAATAAGGAACAATAAATTGGTTTAAAATGGTTTTGATTGCTTAAAAGTGGACTATGTTTGTATCGGACCTCGTGTTGTTTCGTACATTACCTTTTAAGTTATCCTTTTGCAGTCAGGTTTTTGATTTTTTTAAATTTTTTATTATGACTAATTACATACAGGTACATAAGGAAATTAATTATTTCAACACTTCGATTTGCTTATTTTTATAATATATTGTATTGTTATGAGAAAATGCAGAAGACAGTACAGGGAAGATACACCAAGTGATAATGTGATTCAGTAATTTATAGATCAATAAATATGTTACTTCCCGTATGTATTCATTGTTGAAGATTTAAGAACATTGAAAATATGACAAAATTTAGAAAAACAAAAAGGATTTCAGTATATTATAAATTGCTTATGTGCAACTTATATTTTTAGATGACATTGTTTAACTAACTTCGTCGGCTTCTGAAAAGCTAAATTAAACTGACGATATTTTAAACTTAAAATTAAAGAATAATACAATATTATTCAACAAATTTCACTAACTATTAATTCTTATTATTAACATACATAATTATTATTTTATCATGATTTTTCTAAAACTGAAAATATTTTTTGGTAATGCTTTTAAAAGAAATATAGATGTTTCTTCAAAAGGAAATCATTATGTTTTCGGAACTGCTCTCTTTTACATGCCTTAATGACTTGTCTTCAACATTTTCCTGAATGAATACAGTTTAATACCACATGAAGATCAAAAACTTATCTACTTACGGGTACGTCCACAGCACATCAGGCTGCAGAAATACCTCTTAACAATCTTTGGCTTGGTTTTCTTTGGCGAGGAAGTTGGAACCCTCTGGTATCTCGAGGACTGTATTGGAATAACCAGTTCCAATACAGAGGCGTCGTCATCTTCATCCGATGCGGTCAATTCGACTTCGTAAAGAGGTGGTGATGCGCGTTCCGAATCTGAGCTGGGCGGACGATGTACCTCTTCTCGAGATGGTTCAACGTACATTCGGCCCACCACAATGTCTTTCATTTTGTAATGAAACATCTGTAAAAATATAATTTCAAATAATGATGAGAGAGTTTCTCTAAGTATAATAACCTCACACATCTCACACACGACCGTCTGATCCCAAACTATTCGGAGGATGTTCTAGACTGCTGATTTACATACCTAAATATTTTTGAAAATATACATATTATAGATAAAATGCAGCTGGATACAGAAAAAATGATCATATTTATCACAAAAATATTTCTCTGCGCTATAGAACCCACGTCTCCCAAACCAACAGGCCCGGCTTCAGTATCGCAGTGTTTATATAGTATAATGCATATGAATGTATAAGTGCTGGGTCTCAGTCACGGTGAGCACTTGCGAGTAACGTTCCATATCCTGTTTTACGTACATTACGTACGTTTCCTGTAGTGCTTTACTAACGGAGTAAATTAACTTATGAACCTGATCACCATCATATTGATGTATAGAAACCCTCACAGTACATCGTCTCAGATAATGGAGAAGTCTTATATCAAATTAATGTTCGCTCTATGTAAGAAATTACCACGAAGACCTAAAAGGAAAGACCTAAAAAGTTCCTTACCTTATATTTTATTTAAAAAGACAACTCCCACATTAGGCATATATCATGTGTCGCGAGAGACTTTACAAACATACATGAAACGGACACAACGAACACCCTGACTCAGAAATACAATTTTTGGATCACACAAAGTGTTGTCTCATGTGGCGATCGAACCCACAACGCTCAGCGCAGTAGAAAGCGGTGTGGCGACCGCTTAATCCACTACACCATACGTGCAGTCTTTAAATTGTTTTTGGTGTACAGTAATAATAACAATAACTTTACACATCTCACACACGGCCATCTGATTACAAACTAGGCAGAGCCTGTATTATAGTAACCAGACTACTGATAAATATACTTATTTGTTACTAAATATATACCTACAATAAATAACTAATACCGAGACACAAAACAAATAACCGTGCTCGTTACACAACTTTTTGTCCTGGGTGGGAATCGAACCCACGACCTCAGGCTAAGCATTCAGGGACAATAACCACTAGATCAACAGTTCCATCATAGGAAATGGTTACTACTAGTTACTACATTACAAATTTCATCACAGCTTGATCAATTTTAGGACTTTGGATATAACCCAAGAAGAAGAACTTTCTCCTCTTGTTCATGCTTCATTTGCTGTCCAATCTATTCTACTATGGAATGCGCTCCCACTTGAGATCAGGATGTCAGCAAGTCGTGACACGTTCAAAGCTTTTACAGGAAACAGATAGCAGAAATATCCTCATGATTTCGTCACCTCAGGCATTATTGTCTTTATTTTATTCCATATATATATATATATATATATATATCATTTATTAATAGGTACTTCTTTATTCGCCTATGTATTTTCAACAGTATTATCATATTAATGTTATATTTTCATAGCTTCTCTTCTTTTTACAAAATACATGTGCCATGTGTCCCTTACTGAACCATATAAGGTTGACTGGTAGATAATGGAGGCGCCATGTGGCATTAAGTCCGCCTCGTGCAAGTTGTAATGCAGGAAGTGTAAAAAAAAAGAACCCCGAGAAGTCATCACCAGGGCACCATGGAAAAGAGTAGAGTTTTTTACTTATATTTTCCGCTATCCTGACGTTAATTATATGTTTCTAATTAGGTGCAAACTTCTACGTGCAAAATATTACAATAATTTGATACTAATAAGCGTAGTATATATACTAGTAAAGGCCTTTGTCTTGCAGGGGACTATTAAAGGCTGTTGATGTTGATTATGAAAACGCTTATCTACCCTTTTACATCTTGTACATTGTGCAGTTAATGATGTTTTTTTAAGCTATAACTAGTGGGCGTCTAAAATGCCTCTGTCGGTCGGACGAAACATCAAAGTTTATACTAACCTGATCTTTGTAGAGATTTTCATCACTATTGTTTCTGCTATCCTCCCCACTAGACTGTAAAATTTAAAAAAATATTATAATTCATGTTTAAGCAAACACAATTCTAGTTACGGGATAGCTTACCTACGCTACGTGACCCGTTTAGGGCGGGGGGAGGTGACTGTTCATAATATCACGATTGGTAACATGAGCGCTGGGGGGTCCTAAGTTTTCGTCACGAAGTCAGTATTCTCTATGGAAATCTCTCGCTTTTTCGAGCTATATTAAAATTAGCGTTTAGCCGTACGTCGGAACGGAACGTATGCCGGGACGTCAGCTGATTAACAATTGACAGTGTGTAGTGCAGTGCAGTTTTTAGTTTAGTTTTTAGTTTTAGTTGTTTTTCCACATAAGTTAAATTTTATACACCATCTAAAAAACGTCCTCCCTATAAAGCAGCCTTTCCCAAAGTGGGCGATAACGCCCCCTTATGGGCGCTGCAGGCCTAAAGGTAAGAGACCCAAAAAAAATGGGTGCATTGTGTAGAGGCTTGGGGGGGCATTTGTAATTTCATCTAGCTAGGAGGACTCTTAGACACCGACTGAGTTCTCGACTCTCGACTACAACTTGTCAAGATCAACTTAATTAATTAAGAGATTGCTCAAACTCGGTTCGATATTTCTCACCGCGAGGTTTATATATCTGTCCTGTTTTATTGAATAAATAAAATAAAAACCATGTCAATCGTTCGCGCCGTTTCCAAATAGACGAAGTAGACACAAAAAAACAAATAAAAAGGCAACAAACACACTTTCGCATTTTAATAGTTATTAGTATTCCTAGATAGGTAATCTTCGTAGATAATAGACCGCGGGCAATCATATTTTACCAAGTTTTTGTTAAATAACCCGATTTGTGCATTCCTGTATCAATCGGCTGGTTCATAGAATACTTGTCCTTACTTGTTGAGTACGATTGAGCGTCGAATCAGATAAACGCATTTATTCCTGTCGGTGCGTGCTACTTAGTCAATCTTTTCCTTTATTGTCACAAAAATTATACAGTGCACAAGGGTTCACACTTATAATTTGACACAATTAAATGTATTGTGCTTTAGGTACTGATACTGTCTCCCAAACTAAGCGAAGGCTTGTATTTTGGGTTGCAGTTTTCAGTCGTGTATTATTTATTTATTTTATTTATTTTTATTTATTTGACCAATATGATATAATAATATGTTACAATGTAGGACATTTTTATTTAAAATACATTCAGTAGTTTTTTTAATCGTTAAGCAACACTAGTGTAGAACTAAGGTAATATTTTATTTATACAGATCTTTATACTATGTGTATGTAATAAAATTTATTTCAAATACTTTAATCACTGCCTGCCTGAACTAGAATAAACCTGTGTTTCAGGCGATCGCTTGACTTAGAGTATTAAACAAACTTTATTAAGATATTAATATCCAGAATAATAAATACGTAATAATATGTATATAATAAATAACAATAACAGAATAGTAATGAACATAAAAATACTACACGTGCAAAAGCAAATCACAAACATACGTAATAATAATTTCTAACATATTATGTTTCCGCATAATTTAAGTTTCTTATAGTTCTAAGCTAGATATATTTAGTATCTTATTAATTTTATTATATAAGAAAGATCCTAAGAATAAATAAAATGTCTTAACAAACACTACAATCCTATATAAACAACATAATATTGATTTTATGTTCATTTGCGGTTTAAGTTAGCTAAGCAGTTAGTTAGTTAGTTATAAGCAGTAATTAAGTTCAACACTTACTTACGTATTTCTCAAATCAAAATTATGTCGGAGTAAAAAAGAAGAGACGGCAATACTGTGCGGAATATATTAAATTCAGATTCATTGAAAATCCCACAAACCCATCGTCGCCTTTATGCCTTCTATTTTTAAAAACATTATCGAACGAAGCAATGAAGCCTTCAAGACTACAAGATCATTTGAATAAAATGCATCCCAATAAGAAAGACAAGAATGTAGCATATTTTCAAGACCTAGAAAAGAAGCATAATACTCAGCCAAGTGTGAGCTCAGCAAGATGACGACGGACTTCGAGCTTCGTACAATATCTTTTTGTTAATTGCTCAAAAAGGCAAACCACACAACATCGGAGAAGAATTAGTTTTGCCAGCAACAAAGGAAGTAATAACTACTGTGCTTCATAAACCGGCTGCAGATAGATATTATCCGAAAAGTTCCTTTGAGTAATAATTCTGTGCAAAGACGAATTGATGAAATGGCTGAAAACATTGAAGGATCATTGTGCAATCATCTGAGGACTAGTCAATTCTCAATTCAGCTCGATGAGTTCACTTTACCACCTAATGAAACATTGTTGCTGTCTTACGTGAGGTTTATTAAAGATGATGAAATATGTGAAGAACTATTGTTTGCTAGAAATTTAGAGACCGATACAAAAGGCAAAACCATATTCAATATGGAATAGCTTTGTGATGAGAAAGAAATTCCCTTGAAAAATATTATATCAGTTGCTACGGATGGCGCTTCGGCTATGATAACATTTGGTTGCTAGAAACTTAAGTGAACGACAATTTCAATCACTGCAATATGGCAAAGCAGTCAATAAAATCCGTAGCAGCTCTTTGAATGATAGATTATTTCATCAGCTTTGTGTTACTAATGACGAAGATTTCAACCGTTTGTTGTTACATACCTAAAGTTCGTTGGCTATCAAGAGGCATGTGACTCTACAACCTGTTTGACTATGCGATAGAGTTCTTGGAAACCAAAGATACAGAATTGCGCAACAAGCTCATTACATAAAAGAATGATATAGCTTACATGACAGACCTGTATAAATTGTTCAACGACATGAATCTCCAACTGAAAGGCGATGAACTAAATTTAATTAAAACAAAAAATGTCGTTGCTGCTTTCGCAGCCAAACTGCTTCTATACAAAAAGAATATGGGCAGACGTGAGTTTCACAATTTTCCGAATTTATCAGTATCCTGCAGTAACGACGACTTGTTTGCCTACTGCCAACATTTGGAAAACCTCCACATTGACCTCACCGAACGATACCAGGACATTTTGAACTTGGAAATACCAGGCTGGATGTTGGATCCGTTCAAATGTCAACACAGCAATGTCACCTCAGCTGGAAGAAGAACTTATAGAATTCATAACAAACGAGGCAATAAAAATCAAGTTCAAAAATGGCTACCAAGAATTTCGAAACGAAAACAAACGTTAAACCGATCCCGCAATTGTAGATTTTTGATAGCATTCCCATCGTCATATTTGTGTGAACGTGGATTTAGTGCTGTGGCAAAACTGCTCACTAAAAAGAGAAATCGTTTGCATGTTACCGAATTATGCGACTTGCGGCTGTTCTTGAGTAACTTGGAACCTGATATCAACACACTTATTAAACAGCATCAGATTCATCCTTCACATTAGTTTTTATATGAGAATCGATTATGTTTGTTTTATTTTGAATAAAAGATGTCTGAATACTATAGTTGCGTTTCAATAATCATTCTCATTGGCAGGTGTAGCCCGTAAGAGTTAACTTGAGACCTGAGCGCCGTTGTGTACTGCCTACTGCGTTCAGGTCTCAAGTTGACTCTTGCGGGTTATAGTGAAATTCTCGTTTAGAATAAATTAAGTTTAATCTCCGCTAATATAGCTCACAATAATTAATTAATTTAATTGAAAATGAAGTTATAGTGGGTTTTAAGTAGGTGAATAAATGGGGGCGCTAAAAAATAATTTATTCTCAAAGTAAGCAGTAGACAAAATAAGTTTGGGAACCCCTGCTATAAAGCTTTAAAATTATATTTATCCAAAAAATTAATATTGTTCACCATAAAATATCCTGCACAGAATGACAAATAAATACATAATTTGAGTGAAATTGCTAACCTGTCCCAAACGGCGCATGCGATCTATAGTATCATCGCTGCTGATGCCGCTATCCTCGGTCCACTGCTCCAGGTCCAAGACCTCAGGAGCATACTGTCCTACTGGCCAAATGGCTGCACGATCTCCTTCTAGCGCCAGCTTGGCGGGTTTGTATCAAACAACTTTAAAACTTTATAATCAATCTGAAAATCACAACACAAACTAATACAGCAACAATGTATAATTAAATTAGATTCTTCAATATTCAAGGCAACAGTTTAGTTTTTGGGGGAGGAACTGGACTGTAACATAAATTATCCCTTGATACTTAATAGCAGTTTTCATTCTTTTTCAATATTTTTTTTGAAACATCTATCGAAAAATATCACTCCCAATATACGCGTATTTTAGGTATCCTAAAAGATTTTTTAAAGATTTTGTATCACGTTACCATGGGAGAGTCATAATTCGGAGCAAATGGGCTGGCAGGTCGGAGTCATACCACGGTCTCACAGAAAACTCATGTTAAGCAGTTCTTTCGTTGCTTTTCACGGAGTAAGTAAGGTTATCGAATCCTAAACCCACCCTCCTTCCCCTGTTTCTGGAAGGGGGTGGTTTGAAAGGCGCCAACTCGCTTGTGCGCTTGAGTTGTAGATCTTCGGGCGGCAATAGTCACTAACCATCAGGTGACCCGTCTGCTCGTTTGCCCACCTATCATGACACCGACTTGACACAGAATAAATAATCGGGCACATTCATCAATAGCCTTTAAAGTCAGTTAGTCAGTAATTAAGTCTTTTACGAAATCCACGGGATGTATAGAGGTGGTGACATTCCGTATTCTAAATCCGTCACCACACGGATTTCTTAATCCGTCACGCTCATTATCATAACTAAATTATTTGCTGGTATGATGAAAGGAAGAGAAGATCAGACTAACAGGCTGTAGTTTCTTGTGTATGAGAGTCTTAGCTAAAAAACATATATGATGGACAGTAAGTAATAATAATTCATTTGCCTAAAATAAAATTTCTGGAACCGCACTCTTTTGATGTTAGTGTTAGGAAGTATATTGTAAAGTTCGTATTACTATTGCTATTAAAACTATTTGAACTCATTATATACATTAAAAATGTAGGTACATAAAGTTACGAGACTTGTTAACTGGATCTTAGTGTTAGTATAAGCCACTAAGCTAATGCAACGCGGACGTGCCGTTGAATGAGCCAAGGAAAATATATTTTAAATTCAGTGGACCAAACCGATAGTAAACCTTGGCACTCAATCCTCGCTGTCAACATCTACAACCACCGATACCATCTTTAAATAAATACAAAATAAACGATCCTAAAAAAAATTTACACTTTAAAAACAAAACCTTCGTCATGTTAAATGTTTAAAAACAAAGCTACTATCGTTAGATAATTTTACCAACACTAGAAATGCAAAAATTCGTAGTGATGGATAGACGGTTAAATGAATGTTTTTGACCCTTCTGTAAAGTATCTCACATTGTATTGTATGGTTATTTGCTACTACACTGATATAAAAGTACCGCCCCTATTAATCCCGTGGGTGTCGTAAGAGTCGACTAAGGGAGCAAACTACGCAGGACAACAACACAAGAACTTCAGAACTTCATAATCATACTTTGTGGAATTTCAATTGTGAGATTTTGGTGTATGAAATATTCAGTCCTAGAGCGAGGAACTCCAATTGTGTATATGTTGTCAACGCGCAGACCCCAAATAAAATTGAGAACAGGTAGGAAGATGATATTACTTGTCACACAATCATTGTTATAATAAAATGTAATAATACTATTGTATGGCCGTGTGGTGACGGATTAAGAATACGGAGTGTCACCTGTTGTCACCAATAGGGGTCTATTCATCCGGTGGGTGCCGACTAAGGGAGCAAACTACGCAGGACAACAGCACTGCAAAGAGAAGGAATACTTGACACAAACCCTATAACAAACCGTCTGGCCAGCGTTGTATAGTAAACCAAAACTTTCTTTCTAAGTAGAGGCCTATGTCCAGCAGTGGACTATTAAAGGCTGTTGATGTGATTACTATTCTAACAGCACTCGTTATAGGTTATAGGAAATAACCTATAACGAGTGCTGTTACAATAGTAATCACTATTAAGTAATAGTATGGGAGAGCGATGCTTCTGTACTTATGGGCCTGTTCGACTGGATTGATACTATTATACATTCTCACAGAAAACAAAACAAACAAATGTTGGGCAATTCTTTCGATGCTCTTCACCGAGTGAGTGAGGTTTTTGGAGGGTCAACTCCCTACCCTAATAGCTGCGTCATTCAAAGGGCAGCACCGCACTTGCATATATACCATATTGCGTTTGCTAATTTACCACGAAAAATATAAATATTGAAAATAGAAACTATACTATTATTTTATTCAATGAACCATTAATAAAATAAATAAATAATTGCAAAAGTGCAGTTAAAATTATACATAGATAAATTAATCTTTGACTATTGAATACATTTCTAATCTGTCTTGGCAAAAAATTTGAAATAATAAATAAGTTTTTTATCGACTAAAAAGGAGGAGGATATCTATTCGCATGTTTAATTTTTTTATGTATGTTCGGGCATAATTCTGTCATATATAGACGGATTTTCAAAATTATTTTTTTGTTCGAGAGGGGTTTATTCCGAAATGGTCCCATTAAAATTTCATATAGCTCTGATGATGAGTTTTGGAGTTTTCACTTGACAGAAAATCAACCACGATTGGTGCTGGGTTTCTAGTGCTCTTTGTTAGTATTGTTTGAAGTCGGTTCAACTTTTTTTAAGATTTTCTTGTACGATAACTATTCCTTTACCTATTGCAACGAGTCATATTGGACTTAAGTACTATTTAGTTAAGGGTGAATAAAACCATGAAACAATCAACTTAAAAGTCACCAATGACTCACCCTTTAAACAAATTTGGGTACTTTTTTGCTTTGTATACTCAAGTAATAGGTACATACTAAGTTCTTAAAGTTTTTTTACAAGTTGGAAAGTCACATCTTGGAAAATGGCAAATGCATTTCAAATTCACTGTAAAGCTAATTTATAAATATATAAATTGATATTTAGCATAATAAAAGAGGCAGCGTAACATCACAATAAATAATAAACCACGAAAACCTTATTCATTTTTTAAACAGTTTTAGATTAGACGAAATTTATGTCAAGTGTAAAATTGCGTCAAAGAATAATACCAGATATTACATCACCTTAAGTTTATGCTTCTTTAATAATTAAACTATCTTATAAAAAACAAGACATACAATTGAGTTTTTTTTTAACAATACCTGTTTTAAGTTTCTTAATTATTCGAAAACTATAGGCGGCCAGTTTATAATTATAATATATAAATATATTATATTTATAGAATATCAGAAGTCGCATTCGCAGTTTGTGTCAGAATCGCAATGAAATCATTACTCATTAAGATAAGAAGAGATATAAGATCTCAAACAGTTTGCATGTACTTCAAACAAAGGGCACGGTGGCGACATACTAGCGGCATAATGCAGAAAATACTAAATCAAACACTCTTTTACAAATATGTTAATAATGACAAGTTAACGGCCAAGCATACGGCCTGCCGAATATTGGGTGGTATAGTGAATAGTGCCTGTAAGAGCAGCACAACTTGCACGCAATGATGCCATTGAATTTTAGTGGCACAGTTGTTCTGCATGTTGAATTTCGTATGTCTTTCGGTAGGGCGGTGTCGAAATTACTCTGATTAGAACCACACAATGGCCATACCTTGCCTCAATAAGAAGGGTCTTAGCTCAGAATTATTTAAACATCTGGTCCAATGCTATCGCGAATTCACATAAGCCCAGGCACTACCTCAAATTTAATGATCATGCATTGTTATGCATTAGAAAAAAACAACACTACGCCATTACCGGTTTTATGAACAGAAGACTGAAAACAGTTGGTAGGTGACGCTTGTCTGATGTAAAACGCTGATCGGTCCCATTCGTAACCGTGGATCTGAGATCGATAGGATTTCATTTATCCACAGTTAAGACGATAGACTAGACCATATAGTTTAAGCCTACTTTGTAAAAACTGCAAATATTCACGCCCTTTTTTTTTGGTCGGCGCAATATGTCTTTGTTGTGTGTCGTCATTTTACATTCCCTCTATCTTTTGTCTTTATATCTTATTCTACTCTCAAAGTCACCTACATTTAGATGTTATAGAATATTGAAATAATTGACGATCGGCGACCCTATTTCAATATTCTATTTCGTCTCTTAACAATATTTTAAGTACATAATATTTTTTCTATGAAATCATTGATCAATTTGATACACGGCGCATCGTTATTATTTAAATTAATAACGACATCTACACAATATGTCCCACATTTACATAACACAATCAAAATCCTATGAACTACGTAACAATAAATACACATTCATTTAAAAACCATCATCCAATTGACTTGTTGCTAATTCAAATTGAAGAGCTACAAATAACCTGGGACGGCTAACTAATAGAAAAGGATAGTCCCTAGACAATGAAGATGTGCGTAATGATGACCAATAATTACTGAAAATCTATTTATTATTATTATTTTATCACTAGTCGCTCACACGTATGAACGGTCTTTAATGATTATCAACGAAATAAAAGAGATATTTACCGAATTATTCCAGTGATGCAAACAGAGCAACAGATGTTCGGACCGGTATCAAAACACCTTCGAGCTCCACGCTACACCAAAGATACTGCGGATTTACAGCGACCGACGGCTCCCCAGAGGGCGCTCCACACCCCGTTTCCATGGCAACGAGACTCTGCGCGCGCACCCTCATCCCACACAAAACGACATCAAATTTATTTACTAATTGTCAAACTTTTTCAACGCAAGTAAAGATTTTTCCTATCAAAGTTATTGTTTTTTTATTGATTTAATAATCGTATATTCATCAATCATTATAAAATGCCGCCCAAAAAGGTGAGTCAATGTTTACTTTTATAAACATTCATTATGTTAAAAATAAATATTGTTAGTATTTTTTTTTATCTAATATAAACCCAGTAAGTACTTTTTACTTAAATTTTACATAAATCTAATATAACATTTTTTTCCAGAGCTGTTATGTATAAGTACTTGTTAATTTATAGCTGTGTTACGTAAAATTTACTTTACAACATCGATCAAACACACCATTACAAAATGATACTGAGCCCATCTCGAAAAATAAACTTTACCTAGATACAAATCACTCACATAACTCGAGTTGTTCATTGATTAACATAACAAATTTAGTTGTGACAAGAATAGTTTATTTTGATCTAGAACGGCAAGAATATCCCGTACCATCAACTATTAAATTTATAACTAACAAACGAAAATGTAAACTATTTATTATACTCTTAGGCTGGGCAAATTTTTTATTTATTAAAAGATGCACAGATAAGAGATACAAGTAAAAAATGAAAAAAATATTTATTGTATTTTCTTTGATTGTACTCGGTCCTATTTTACCACAATCTGATTTCCGAGAGAGACCAAACAAAAAAGAGCAGGAATTGGCCAAAGTTAAATAAGAACGTAGAAATATAATAGGGGGAGCAGTAGTAGCGTAATGACTCTTTCAATTGATGATACACAATAAAGTGTTAATTAAAACATGTAACTTTTAAATGTAAACAATATCGTGTATCAAGTTCACAAGGACAATTCGGGATAGTATTTACATCGACAAGCATAACTAACATCTTACAGCTACAGCTTAGATGGGCATTCAAAAGTCTGAATTACTTTAGTATCTTGTATTTAATGGTATCATTTAAGGTTTTTTCAGTAAAAATATGTATACCTAATCGATTAAATACTCGTATACCGAAATATCATAAAAGCCAAAATGCTCGAACTCCCCAGCCGAATATCTTCAATCAATAAAACTATATTTATTTTGGTCCATATAAAATTATCCAAATTAAAGTCTCGTTATAGACATATTTATTTCACAAAAATATGCAGAAGGGTAAGTAATGAACCTACTTTTCAAATAAACACTAAATACAAGCAAAATAAAAACAATCAGAAACATAATGCGTTTCAGTTCGTAAAGATACAAATACTTGATACAGAAAATATGAGATAAATGATTTTATTTTAAGATTTTACTAAGCTTTCATTGCCTGGCAGGCACAAAGCCCGAAAGGTGAGAAAAAGAAATTGCCAGAGCTCTGGCGAAGTAAGTCCAAGGAAAAATCTCTAGGAATGCTACTACTTAAGAGGTTGAGAGTGAGTAATAATCCTTAGGACTGAGCATGTGTGTGCAAAAATCCATTGTAAATATGACATTGTGTGTTTGTGTCCGTCTTGGAAAATGTTGGCCATGTTTGTGTCCGTTTTTTGTACGAAGATTGAAGCTGTTTCCATATGGAAGTGTAAAACCAAGAAGTGTAAACAAAGAGCACCCTTCCTAAAAAAATGGGACTTCAATATATTTGGCGGGTACCCGCGACTTTGTTCGCGTGGAATTTCAATTGAAAATGTTTGTTCAATTTCCAGAATTTATGAAAAATAAATGGTGTAGTACGGGACGCGACTGCAGTCCATGAGGCCTCGGGTTCGATTCCGGCCCGGCAAAATTTTATAGGGTTTTTCTTAGCGGAAAATAGCCTAAGTTATTCCTTATATAGATAGCTACCTGGCAGAAAAATATTATCAAAATCGATACAGCCGTGTTTAAGATTACCCGTAACATACAGAAAAACAGACAGACAGACAAAAATATTCAAACTAGTTTTTAGGCATAGGTATTGTGCAAATAACAGTGTAATCGTGAAAAAAACAATTACTTTGACATTACAAATAGAATACTTCAATTTTATTTATTCGTGTAGACAAGTATGGAAAACATGAGACTTAATTGCGGTAACATAATTTATAACGAACATCAAATAGTGTGGTATCGTGCAAATCTGACCCAGACAAAATATTTGTGTGAATCATTGGTTTTCATAGTGTTCACATATCCAGGTGTTCCGGGCTCCACCAGGGACTTCCTTTCTAGGGTATACCTGGTTCCCCGGCTATTAGTACCCGCGACGGCGTGCGGTTTTAGTCGGTTCGAGTCCGACATGCCACCGATAGGTGGTATCCGAGGGGATTTCCGCACGGATAAAAAAAAAAAGGTGATCCAGGCGAACAATACAAATATGTAATATCTAGAATCTTTTTTACCCTGTACAATGTTATTAAACAAGAAATACGTCTCTTTGTCTACACTTTGTGGTGCGCGGCACTTCATACCCTACGATATTTTAACATATTGTGTTGTGAAGCACACATCACTGTTTAATTTTATGACTCCAATTTATTTGTGTAACAATATTCATATTGTGTACGTCCATGCACGCTTACTTGTTTTTCAGTCGTTTCTCAAGCTTCGCTGTGATCGTGAAGTAATTGCAATATTGCTATAAACGCTATGAGCAATGCTTAAAATCCGTAGCTTAGACAAACAACTATAATAATTAAAATATCCACGTGTGTATACATATTGAACTTATTCTACTTAAAATAATAATAACGTCATCATTATAAGGTTTTTTATAAAAGAAACGGAAAATACTCGTATCCACTAAAACCTTACTTGTTTAAACGACATACAGCTTTTTATTTTTTTTACATTCATATTAAAGAGAACATCATATGTCATAACTGAGTTAAGTAATTATACATGTGTTCTCTTGTATTTAGGTCGGATATCCCGCGTCTTATTAACGCACACTAACACGACATTTCAACAAGAAAACAGTTTTTGTTCCATACATTTTGATCAAAATTGTCGCGTGATTAAACTGAAATTCGTACCATTTTTCAAATCTTCGGCAACACATTTGATTTCTGATTAAAGTATAAAAAGTGAATCTTGAATCAATCAGAAAATTAGATACTTACTTTATTTTTACACCCATTTAACTGATGCAAAATTCGAACTGAACTCAACAAAGCGCGTTTATCGCCCGAGAACTATTGAACTCGCTATGCGAACACTAAACGTTCGCGAAATTCATTTTTTTTTGGAATACCTGTAACGAATTTCTTCTCATGATACAAATATTAGACGTTTGAAATATGCTTTCGAACTGCAATCCACGACTTTACAGTCGAACATTGAAACCACCACTAGGGTCCTATCTCAATTAATATTCTGATCATTATCAAAACAGCGGTTATCACGATAGCGGTTATCAGCAATACTGTCTCATCGATCGAACACATTATTTGGAATACATCACGCGATACGTAGCCGAAATACAAACAATAAAATTTTATGTTAATAATGATTTAAATTACTTTTTGTATCGGTTTCCGGACGAATCGAATTAATAAGTTTGAGTTCGTAACTGGTATTAGGGTAATAATAGAATTTGACGACCGCCGCGTCCGTTCATCATGACAGAAATAGACTCACGTACGTACGTACTCGTATACGTAAGATAATAAATATCGTATTTTTGTCTACTAAAGGTTTTACGAATAAAAAAAGTAAGGAACATAAATGAACTGCGGCACCGTATATCGCTACAGTAACACAGTGTACATTCTATACCGCAATATTTTTTGACTGTATTCTAGATAAAAAATGTACCGCGACACGTTTTCGTGCTTAAAGAAGTTATGCTCAAGAATATTAATCTCTGTTCTACTGTCCTCAAAGAACGCCATAAAAATTATCGTTAGTTATTTCTACAAGTTATTTCTACCACTACTACAGAAAATATTAAAATAGAATGATGTAAAATATGCAGATTTCTTTTAGATTTTCAAAGCGACATAAATAAAAAATAAATTTACCTTCAAGAAAAGAGCGTACTCCTTCCTAAAAGGCCGGCAACGCGTTTGTGACTCCTGAGTTGCAGACGTTCATGGGCGGCGTTGGTCACTTTCCATCAGGTGACCCGTCTGCTCGTATGGCCCCTCTAACATAAGAAAAAGACACACTAGCATAAAACCTAGTTTGAGTCATTTCAAATTATGATTTATATTTCGCTGTAAGTAAAATGCAAAATTGAGAAAATGACATATTTATAAAGACACAAAATTTAGATTTCACATGTACATGTTCTTCAATGCCTAGACAAATCCTGTCCTCAACATGCCAGGACTAGTATTCTACGCAGACTACTAGAAGAGGCTTGAAATCTACAAATCAAAGATATTTAACTATTGAGGCATAAGGAATACAAAACTTGGTCTCATATAAATTTCGTGCTGCTTGAACTAACAAAAATATAGTTCTAGAAAAGCAATTTTGTATTTGCAGGTGAGGTGGTAAAATATCTGGTGATAAAATAGTTGATTTTAATTAGCCACTTCCAGGGCCATCTTTAGCCAATCGGAAGGCCTGGGCACATTGGGATAATGGAGCCCCTACGACTTTGACTGATTAGTGTCTGTGATAGAATAGCCAAACAAGGTATTATAATCAGCCATTTTCGCTGGAATTTTCTAAATAAATATGGTTTTCGGTAATAAATATTGATTATCGAATTAGGTAGGTAGGTAGAAGTTAGGGGGCCTCTATCTATCGAGGGGCCCTGGGCACGTGCCCAGAGTGCCCAGTGGGAAAGAGGGGCCTGGCCACTTCCACAATTTCTTTGAATGTGTATTCTGTATCCTGCTGTTCATAATTGTTTCACTGTCTGAATTTTTTTTTTTCAAATCGGACCAGTAGTTCCTGAAATTAGCGAAAGAAAATAGAATTATAGATATAATTAAGAATTATATCAAGAAGGCTAGTCATCAATCGTGCAACTTTCGCCAGATTCACTCGAAGTAGAAAATTTTCAATCGACAATGGTATCCTTTATTGACTGAAACAGTATCTTCAGTATTTAAACAACACCGCACGACCTGTTGGCACAGAAGCCTAAACTCGAGGGTATCGAAGTCACCAAATTTATTTTATTTTATCTAATGCATTTTATGAAGGAATCGATACACTATGACTATAAAATAACTACCTTATATTTAACCCACTGAAAAAGAATAGGAATCGAGATATTTACTTTGATTAAAAATATAAGAATTATTTACACAAGCTTCAAACAGAAAAAACTATCACCCTTACAATTCTTAAGAAAAATCGTGTATTTAAAGCTTAAATGTTAATAAAGAAAACTTTTTGTTATTTGGTTGTCTCATATCCTAAGTTTATATCGTCTATCGTGAGTTATAATAATTTTGTTATCAACCACTAACAAAAAAAAAAGAAAAAATATATTATTAGTAGTGTTTAGTTATTACTATATAGTTTTGATATTATTTTATAGTGGACATTGTGACAAAGTGGACATTTTGATAAATGAACCATTCGGTAAGTGAAAATTTTGATAAATGGACCATTTGGTAAGTAAACATTTTGATACTGAGGACATTTTGATTCAGTGGACTTTATGTGACTAAAGGAAAACTTAGTGGTCGAAGCGACTAATGGCCATAAGAACAAGTGACTGAAATGAATGTTAAAAAATAACTATATTTTGAAATATATCTGAATTTACTTTAAATATACCATTTATAGAAGTTAGTCAACTACAGCCCTTGTTCGGTTGACCTGATGTGAATACGCTTTTAAAAAGTATGAATTAAAAAGTCCCATAAAAACAAAAACTAAGAATTCAGACTTACCGAAATTAGAATGATTTTGAACGAAAATACTCTCATTGCAATTGCAACTAGTCCAATCTACACCGAGACTGGAAAAAAACCTTAGCGAGTTAAGATAACTGCGCTCGCCATTGTCGCAGCACAGGCCTTCGTGAGCCAACCTTGCAGTACTAGCTAATACCAGACACGGAGACTAATTAGAATTTGGTGACACGCCCAGCTTGGGGAGTAATTTACTAACTTTGTTTGTACCGATAGCATAAACAAAATATGCACTCTTTGTCAGAGCTTTTTTAATTCATTTGAGGAATTTTATTATTTCTCATTAAATCTTCTCCATGTTTCGTAACCCTATCTATTCCAGCCTCTGTCGTTAGATCGTCGGTCCATTAAGCTTGGAGCCTCATATCTTCCGTTAATTAAGAGAGTGGCCATGAGTTTCTTCTATTTAGTGGAAATCCGGCATTTCTTCTCAAAAGGTCATAGAATGACACAGACACAGTATTACCTGTTTTCTAGATTTTTGTTTTATAAATTGACATTGACAGAGTAACCTGATGTAATTGCGGGTGTTCATCTATTCTTTTATTTATGTAAAAAACAATAGAATAATTCAAATAATGGGTAACCCATTTTTTGTGCTTAAATTTTAAGTTTAATTTGAACAGAAATAAAATAACTATTTCTTTTATCTTTTTCTTCTTTTTATTCTTGTCTATAAGCAAGACAACACATATACTCAACAAAGCATCAATTAGAATTACATAAATATCCTTAAACAGCACTGACATATGGCATGGAATCCTTAATGAATACTAAGGTTTACTATCAAGCTGATAGTATATAAAAGTGCTTTAAAAGTTAAATTCTCAGCTTCTTGATTAGGAAACAAAATTAACTCAATTACATTAGAAAATCTACTTAACTAGGTAAATAAAAACATCTTCGTGTTTATCAAAATCAAGAAGATAAAATTTCTTGTGTCCTTTGAGTAACGTAGTTCAACGGTACAGACATTTTTTCTTGGATAAAGTTAATTCATTCATTTCTAATCCATATCCAATCGGTTTTCTTTAATTGGTTTTGTAATAATCCTACTCATTATGAAATATTAAAGCCAATTTGAAATTATAACAAGCTTGATATCGTAAAGTCTGTTTATGGGCCATGAAATACCTAAATTACGTTTATGCTGTAGGATTAGATACTTAAAATCATAATGGATCAAAATCTCTCATTACTGTTTGTTGTACTTATATTTTCTAACTACTTTTTAATAAGATACATAGATATATAAACGTTTTCATACGTTTTGTCTTTAACCGATATTAACTATCATGTATGCATATGCCCTATGTATACACTGTATGCACTATACGTGAATATAGGAGTTTATATTTTTAAAGCGCCGAATAGAAAATATGAATTAACATATTCTGATTGTCAGGTTCTTAAAATATTTATTTCTCGTTTATTACTCGAAAACGCAAAACACAAATTTTGGGCAATAAATAATTCTTGTAATCCATAAAACAAGGGTAAACGATCGAAAATAATTCTCTCGCGAAGAAATTGTAAACTCTAATATTTATTTCCTAATTTTTTGGTTAGTTATTACTAAAACGGGTACATTAGCAACTAACACGAGCAATGCAGTTTACTTTGTTGGTTGGCTACAAATTCTTCTAAAACCTTAGTTTGAACTACCAGCTATAAAAAGAGACACCGCAGTACTAAATTTTCTTCCTTATTGAAAACAATAATTCCACGAACTACACTGGTAGTCACTTACGTTACATGCTGCATATGTCTTCCGAATCGGAAGATGAATATGACGTAAGTACAATCAACCCAGAACTTACTGAGGGCAATAAAAGCCAAACCTTTACACAAATTGTCATGAATAAAGATAACATCCAGCATGCTTCGGGCACGCAATGGTTTAATCGTTTGTTTACGCTTGCTTTGCTTAACTAAAAGTGCCTCGAATTATTTATAGTCGAATTACATGATCGTACCCAGTTAAGACCTATCAAATAATATGCAAATGTCTCTAGAATATTTACTCGTAAATCCGCTCCGAGTTCCCAAACGCTTAGAAAACTAAGCAGTGTTCCATTCGATGTCAGACAACGCTTGCGTGTCTGCATATTTCTTTATTCTTGTAATAAGTCAAAACATTTGGTTACAAAATGTTGAAGGCTATAATAAAACGCGCTCTTGACGAAGAAAATGTGCTTTTAAATAAAACTTTACAGTACTTTGATGTATGTGATGCTGTGTAGCCAACATACACTGTGTCATACGTAGATATGTGTATATAAAAGGCAATTTTACATTTTCACAGAAAGAGGGACAGCAAAAGTCTCGTGCCAATCTTGGTGAAGATGACGCCTTGGAATGGCTCAAACCGCGCCAGTTAATAAAACCTGATGAACAAGAAGATGTTGCGGAATCTGTAAGATAACACTTGTTTTAATTAGTCTTGAGACTAAACACTAAAATAAACTTTTTTTATAACGTCATTGTTACTCATCAACGTAGTCTCCTCTACGACTATGATACAGCGTTTTGCTCTTATTCTATAATAATATGTGTTTAATGATTTATCTTTCCAAAATCAACCTTCGTAGCTGCGATTACTTTACATTCCGAGTCAAATCTCTTACGTTTCCCCAATAAAAAGTATTCCATGCGCTTCCCAAATATATAGGACATAACCTTACCAGCAGAATTACAGAATTCTGCTGGTAAGACAGACTAGAGTACGGAAAGAGTACAGAGAGAGAACAGTACAGAATTCTGTGCCTTAGGCCGATTAGAGCAACTTAACCAGCCGCTATCCGTTCTCCCGACTGCTGTTTGGATTTTGGAGTTAAATGGTGAATCCATGTTTCATCCATCAGAAGATACCGATGCAAAAAAAAACATTTACAACTCATTGAAAGATTCAATATTATTATCATTCTTACTTATTAATACTTACTTTCATCGTCCATCACGAGCACGTGGCAATGGAATTTCAATTCCCTTTTTTGCCTCTGTCCACTAGGATCCCTTGCTGGGATCCCCTGGGGGATTCATTTGGATTTTTGTCCACGCCAATCCCTTATGGGATTTATTGGAAATTTTAATCCCCAAGGGGATTAATTTGGAAGTTTTTGTAAACACAACGTCCACTAGGATCCCCTGCTTAAATCCCCTTGTGGATTTATTTGCTTTTTTGTCCGCAGCGATCCCATAATTAAATGTGATCCCCTGGTGGATTTATATAGACACGACGTTAATTCTCAGTAGTATAATTATACCCCCGTTCCATTTAGTTTAACTAGTTAAAATTTGAGTTGAACTATACGGATTAGAAAAATAGAGGTCTATATAAAATATAAAAATTGCCAAATATTATTATACAAGTGATAATAGCAGCCTTTTAATGTTGCCTGTGGAAATAAAGAACGTATAGAAGCCATTGCTGCTTTTTCAAAATCCACTGTTAATTTCTTAGGCTTGATTTCTGGCACCTAACTCTTAATAATTTCTAATATTTTACAATATTAATCTTTTCGTTTATTAATCATCAACGCGTACAGCAAGGGTACAATTTCCGTTTTATTACTTGTTGTACCTAGGGAACTATATATTATATTTAGTTGTTAGAAAAGAGGTGGCGTGCTTTTAAATTTACCGTCCGAAAAAAATGCGTAACTTGTTTTATAATGTCAGCGCTTCAGGTAAGCAAAATCTTATTATTCTATTTCCTTCATGTGCATAATCTGCTAAAACTAAATTACTACTTCGTCCACAAAGTTAAAACACGTTTTGTTTACCATTGTTATACCATCCAATTTTTATGGACTCATATTTCGGGACATTACGAACTAAATTTAATCCTTTATCTCCCGAAGAAATAGTTTTGTTTACCACATCATCTAAGGCTATGATTATTTCATTTTCTACGTAGTTGGCATGGCAAATAGATGAATGATCATTCTTTCTGACAATATTATTATACTGTAAATTAAATTAATAAAAATAATTGGTGTGTCATAATTTAAACTAGGTAGGTATTTAACTAGTTTATATAAAGCATCGCCTGATACAAATATTTTAACTGCAGTCGCAGTGGTGGCAGGCGGGACTCGATTCCCTCCTAGCGACCGAGTAGGTACAGGTACTTTCCGAAGCAACCGTGCCCGGCAAGCACCTGCGTCAGCCGGAAGGTAAGCGTCCCGTGCTGCCGCCCTGTCCACTCGGCGATGACCGGCTGGAGAGCGTCCACGGCGGCGAAGCCAGCGTGTGGAGTCTCCAGCCGGAACGACCATCTCACCATGGTGGCTCGGCGAGCAGCTTCGCGCCACTCGCGCACGCCTTCGGGCGGAGTGCGAAATCCGCTCTCCACCCGGAAGTCAGCCACTCGCCGATAAACTTCGGCGAGCACCTCCGCCTCCAAATCCCACGGGGGTGTTCCGGCCAAGGCGCAAGCCGCCTCGGTGAACACCGTACGGTATCCGCGTATGGCTCTGACCGCCAATATCCTCTGGGGGCGCCAGAGGCGCGCCCTATTCGGGGCGGTCAGAGCTGCCACCCACACCGGTGCACCATACAGCGCCATGGACCGGACAACCCCCGCGTACAGCCGCCTCGTGGGAACACTGGCCCCGCCAAAATTGGGCAAAAGTCGCCCTAGGGTGGAAGCAGTGTTCACCAGCTTCGGACCAAGCTGTCGGAAGTGCTCGTCGAAGAGCCACCTACCGTCTAAGACCAGACCAGAAATAATAGGGCCTCCGTCTCATTTAGAGCCACCCGTAATCTCAATGCGCCCGACCAACTGGGAAACTCCCGTGGCGGCCAGGCGCGCCGCCTCCTGGAAGTTAGCCCCCCGAGCCGTGACTAAGGTGTCATCCGCGTAGCAGATTACACCCAGCCCGGAGGGGAGACGCCCTCGTAAACCTTGAAACAAACCCTATATCAACCCGTCTGACCAGCGTGGTATCGGAGGCCAAAACCTCCTTTCTAAGGAGAGGCCTATGTCCAGCAGTGGACAGTTATAGGCTGTTGATGATTGATGATTCGAAATTAACTCACCTTCAATGTAAGACTACCAGTACACTTAAGCTTTCTCCAGTTCGAACATCTCCATAGAGTATTAAGGTTTTTATAGTTTCTTTTTAAGGTATTTATAGCCACAATGTAGTAATAATAAACCTTTATGTTTTATTATTTTTAAATCACTTTCCATCTTCACGATTGCAAAATTATAATGATATTATGAAATTATAATAAATAACTGACAATGTCAATATACCTGTTTATGATCAATATTGTAAATAGGTCGAATCCCATATTTATCAATACATTTTACATCGCAATATTCCTACACAACTCAAAATTCCTTGAAAACTTCATTCAGCCATTTATTTTAAATCGAATGTAATTTATAAATATTTAGGGAATTTGTATTTACAAAAACTTCAAATTTAACCGCCTTGGTGATCAAAACGGATTAAAATTTTCTGCCGGCAAATTAAACTTTTTATGCAATCAGCTGTAAAAGGTAAAGGTCATTCCCCGAAGGTAACGCACAAAAATAATAACTACATGTGTATTCCGTGCGTGCAACCAGTCTACGCACACTAACACAAGTTGGAGGGGAGCCCCGCGCGCTTCGATTAATTAATTGATTTATTCATTAATTACATTGCAGTTTTTGATCGTATTCGGTATTTATTTATTTGTTTTCGGTGAAATGTTCTGTTTACTCATTGTGATATCATTTATAACCAAAAAAATTAAAAAATATAAAAAGAATGATGAATTTTCTGGCAGAAAATTCCAATGATTTTCAACTCAGAATCATGGTCTGAATACACTATTTCAGTATTCGTTACGATGTCCCTTACACCCTGTATATCATACATTTTTTTACATGTCCTCAGGATTTAGTAGAAGAGGTCGGACGTATTTTAACAACGCTTAATCCTCAATGGGTGTTGGATGAAGTGGCTTACCACTATGGCCGGCACCAATTTCTGGTAAAGCCAAAACCGACGTTCGGGAAAGCATACCCTTTATTAATTATTGCTGGTACGGCTATACGTAAGGACTCTGAAGAAGCAAAAGCCCAAATAAGCGCTGGATATGGTAAGTGATTTGATTTAATATTAGTAAAGTTACACATTATTATTATTCTCATTTACCTCTCTTGTCGGAATTGGTTCATGTCGGTAGGGTATTAAGTTTTCTCCCGAGTTGGCGGGGTAGTGGGCTCCATACAGAGGCTATTGCCTAATCTAGGGTGACTGCATTAAGATGCAATCGGGCCACCATGCCGGTATTGAGGGGGGGGAAGTGTTCTCAACTGGGATAGGGCCTGATTAGACATGGTGTCAATTCGTGGGGGGACCTGAAATAACATGGTTCGGGTCCTCCCCAGAGTAGGACACCTGAGGCCGGCCGTCGGGGTGGTTTTTAGTGGAATCACCACATACTTCTGTTTCCTGAGTCCCCGAGAAGCAGGAGATCCGAAGGGATTTTCCACCCCGTCAACAAAAAAAAGGTATTTTTCAACCGGTTCTTAAGAGGTTGCGTCTCTTGAAAGTTTTCAAATGTATGTATAATTATTATTACTACAACATAACTACAGTATTAATTACTTTAAGGATACTTTTTAAAATTGCATAAAATAGAGTCTAATGGCTAGTCAAAGTTGACGTATTAGCCTTACTATATGGATTAGCTATTGGCTATTTGGATGCCATTAGCATTTATATGATTTAACTTAACGTATATATTTGGTTTAACCTTAAATAATTTGAATTCCTTAAAACATGTTACTGAAATACCTTTATATATCAAAGTGCTTTGTACAACTTTTTTCTGTAAGTGACACCTTAATTTTTACTACATCTAAGTGTTGACTGAGGATGACTGAGGATGACATAACCAAATCTAAGATGCAGCCATAGTTATTACACACATTGTTTCATTGTCGTAGTTTACAATACTCCAAGAATGTGTCAAATTCCAATTTAGTCGTATTAGTACAAAAATTAAATTTAAATTTCCAACTATTATATAGACTGACGTCAAATCCATAGACACTGATAGTTTTTCTATACGTGCCAAAACGTCTTGATATTGTTTTCCATTGTAGCTAAGGCTCCCCCTCAGCTAAATACAATGAAAAACAACTGGCAGTGAAACATTGTTTTCCATTTTAGCTGAGGCTGTCCCTCAGCTACAATGGAAAACAATGTGATCACACACTAGTTTTGAATAATTTTATATTTTTCTATGTTATCTTAGCAAACAATAATTCTTTAATTTCTAAAATTATTTCCACTGTAAGACATTTCTTTACTTCCAACATGTTCCAACATTACCAGCTCTATTTTTACATAATACAATAGAACACAAAGAAAATAATAGAAAGAAAATAATTCACACGCAAGTAAAATAACATTTTTGATAGGAGCCTTTTGATAAGAGAAGGATTTTGATTGGTAATATCATCATCAACATCAACAGCCTGTAATAGTCTACTGCTGGACATAGGTCTCTCCTTGAAGAAGAGGTTTTGGCCTACTATACCACGCTGGCCAGACGGGTGGCATAGGGTTTGTTTCAAGTGTTCCTTCTCTTTGCAGTGCTGTTATCCTGCGTAGTTTGCTCCCTTAGTCGACTCTTACGACACCCATAGGATGAATAGAGGTGGTGACACTTCGTATTATTAATCCGTCACCACCGGATTCCGGTAATAAAATATAATATATATACATACAATTACACCTGTTTATTAGCATTTGGTACATCTATATCAAGTAAAAACAAATTCACATATCGTTCTGATGCAGTACAAACAGATTAACGCTACAGCGACACAGATGTGGAATGACTATTGAATAGTTTGACGTCTCGTAGCATCGCGTAGCGATGTCGCCTTGTCGTGTTTGTCGCTCACCAGGGACCACAAGTTATTATAACTTGACGGGTTTTAAAAACATACAAAATAGGCTTGTTTTATCCTTAATCACTAAATGATTTTAATAACGTAATTGTATTCCCGTTAGGTATGGTTGGATTTGATGATGCTGGGCCTAAAAAGGTAAAAGTTAAGAAGTCTTCTGCCGAGGAAGAGGAAGAAGAGGAAAAAGAAGCTGCTGCTCCTGCTGATGAGCCTGCAGGCGAAGGTAAACCGCTATCAAATTATGCTAAATCACTTTACGTACAAGTTTACGATCATAATAAACTCAGATAAGTTATTGTTATATTCTTAAAATAGAAAAATAGAATGCTAGGATTAATAAGATTGCTTACTTTTAATCTTAAGAGAAATATAAACAAACCTTATTCTAAACGTTATTGACTACTGTGTCCTACTTGTTTGTTTGATTTTTATTTGTAGTGACCAAAACTTGGTTCGATACAGTATACCTTGTTTTATTTCTTATAAATAAATAGTTATTTTCAGAGGATGTAGCGCATGACGAAGAGAAACCTGCCGATGAACCAAAAGAAGAGGCTCCACCACCACCAGAAACGGTAGAAGCCGTTGAAGAAGTTGTTCCTGAAGTGGTCGAAGAGGAAGCTGAACCTGACGATGGACGTAAGTTCCACAGTTCTCTTGATGGTAAAGAATCTTGGTGCTAGTTTTTGATACTATTACTATTTATTACTATTTTAGCATAATAATACTTTATTTGTAAATCTCACGAGGTTCTCGAAAGGAGGAATGGTGATTGATAGCGACATCACCACTATCAGATTTACTGGTAACAATAGCTCTTTTACTGGTGATAAATCGGTCTCAATTTAATGCAACTCGCCCAAAAAAAAGGTAACGTAGAGCAACATTAGATAGACATTTACTTTAAAATTAAGCCTCCAACTCTCGAGGAATTGGCCACCATATCTGTAGGCCTATTCCCATAGGAGGAAGTGATGTCCGTTAAAATGCAGTAGAAAGGAAAGAGGGCCAGTACTCTACCGTCCCGAAAAATAAGGCACCGGAGGGTGTTAAATAGATCTCTAAACTCCCTGATTGCTGCCCTGGAGCACAGGTGAAGATGTTCGCTATCTTAGAAGCGGCAGGCCTGAAATGGTGTCGCAACGTGATTTGTATGCGCCTCACTAAACCGAAAGGGCGGCAAGATTCCTAGCCATGCAAGCAAAAGTATGGTTGCCTGATTTTACCAGTCGGCCAAGGTCTGCCAAGGATTTCGGGGAGTTCCATTCTAGGGTATATACCCAAATCCCTTGCAATAGAATCTTTTTAAGTGTTAGACCAAAGTTAGGCTATTCTTTCATTGTTTTTACCGAATGAGTGAGGTTAGCGGCCACCCAATCTCTCTTCCTTTACTCAAGGTGAGGCACTTACAGGGCGACACGCAAGTGCGTGTCTCTTGAGTTGCAGATGTCCATAGGCGATACTAGTCACATACCATCAGGTGACTCGTCTGCCCACACACCATAAAACATGTACAATAATAATATTCTTAGGTATTTTTTAACCAAAATCTGATAGATGTTTCAATGATTGATGTCTATAAGTAAGTGTAAAGTTTTGCGTTGGTTGTACAGAAGCGGCGACCCTGGACGCAGCATTAAGTGTCTTGGACATCAAACCGAGAGTGAAGAAATTAGCTAACCAATTCAACTTCTGTGAACGAGCTGCTCTGACCTACAACTTTCCAAGACGAGTTAGTTTCCATCTTCTATTTCAGTCTTTGTCTTAGTCGAGATGAGTCTTTCTAACGTGTTCAAACATGATTACCAAGGACCACAATCCTATTTGAATATTACGAGCTATAATTTGTGGAGAATGGGCCAAAACACGATTTCGACTTCAATTATTATTATAGGCTATTTTTTTAAAGCATACAGTAACGAGTGAAAAACATATACAGTGAAATCGGCAATCTCGCGGGATCAATCACATAGCATCTCAATGTGATTGGAGTTTCTCAAGTACTCAAACGTAAATAAATACATATAAGCTAAAAGCTTGTTAACTAAGTTTTCATTACGATTGACATAATTTTTATCTGACTTCAAGAAAACAAACAGTTTCTCTAATCAATTGTAATTTTTTAATGTTTTTTACTACCTAAGAACTACGTCATTTGCGATCCGATTTGGAAGGGTTCTTTTTATAGGAAAGGGTATACTGCCCGTTTAGTCCTATTTTTGAAGAAAAAAATCACCACATTTATTGATTACAATTAATTATGATCTAAGTGCATTAAAGTCGGTTATATTATTTTAAAAGCTGTTTATTTTAATAGAAATTAACGAATTCTCTCGGCCTTCAAAAATGCTTCACCATAAAATTCTCATTGAAAACATTTTTCACTGTAGATTTATCAGGGAAGATAAATAGTGATAGTTATTCAACGAATTTATCAGCAGAGTTGTATTGAACATTTAGTTGTGTTGATGTTATTTTAACTATTCCAAAAAAAATATCTAGCAAGTATTGTAATGTAACTCGAATTAATTTTGACATGACGGGATTAGAACTACCGCAAAAGAAATTGCAGTTGTCGTATTGTTCAAATCCGTGTTGCCAAGTATTTTTTTTTAAAGATACGTCACTCAATGATTATTAGACAAATTCGTGCTCCCCAGAAGTTGATATTCGACATCAAACTATACATCGCCATTCTGACTTCAGAATTCAGTATAAAATTTAACTGTAATGTAAATACAATCACCACTATAAATATCTGCATTTTAACGTAAAAGGAACTTCGTGCCGACCGGAGGTCCCCTAATAGACACCTCGCGCCGTTTTTTATTCATTGAAGTTTCATTGGTTCACATAAAATATAGGCCACAATTACTAACGTCAGAATAACATAGAGGATGCTTTTGATTGATTGGTTTGACCAGTTTTTTTTTTGTACTTTTTTCAAATTAATAATCTTCTTGAATATAAAATATTAACGTATTACCAATGATTACCACACTGCAATGATATTGGTACAAAAAAAGGCCAAAAAATCTTTTTCCCTAAAGTGAACCATGTACATAATATGTTATAATATACTTGAATGCCCGCTGTATATTAATGCTATGTGTGTAAGTCGTGGTTGCAAGATATAATCTACATTTTGTATATATTTAATATACAATATGTTATAGGTACAAAGGCTTTTATTTTTTTCTTACACAAGTTCACATGCAAATAAACACATCCGGCTTTAGCCCGATTAAACTTTTAAATATGTAATTAAAAAAATATTTTAAATTTGTAGCGAATTGTGTTTTGTGAATATAGAAATTACAAGAAATAATGTTTTATTGTTTAAATTATAATAAATAACGTATTGACGGCAAATTTATTTATCACTATAAGAAGAAAAGTAATAATCAACAGATATCCATTTATTGAGACTTCAACATTATAACTGATTGTTTAAAAATATTTACATAACATATTGTACAAATTAACAGGCTCTACATCTCTATATGTTAATATATTATAATATCTATTATATAACCATATATTTCTTTACTAATTTTCATTTTTATCTTTAACGTTTCCTGCGACGTATGTATAGAGAAAAGTAACTAATTTTATATTTAGTCAAACGTATTATATCAATTTTAACCAAATTGTACATTAAAACAATATATTTAAACGCACATTCTCACGCGTAGTTAGATAACACGCTATCTCATATATTTACACGTAAAAACGTATTAAGATTTAGATTAAATATAAACTGTAATTAGTGTAAAAAACATATAATAATGTGTGATTTAAATCACTTTAAATGTACTCACGTTAGCACCTTGAAGCACTTATTTATATACACTACACTATTTGATAATGACGTACATATATAATAAATAGTAGACGAGCACTCGTTACGCACGCTTGTGCCCAAATAGCATGTCATTATGGTTGCGAATAAATTCTTCTGTTGTACAGTCGATTGATACACAAACTATCCCGCCACCGAGAGCCACCTACGGATCAACGGCTCTTCAATGCATTATATTCGACTACTATACAGAAGATTACGCCAAGAAAATGAAAGAGAAGGAGGAAGAGAAGCCTAAGAGAGTATGAACCTTAACATTTTATCTTCTTTTAGCATTTATTTTGTCTGTTTAAATAAAATAGTAAAAGAGACAGAAAAAAATATCAATTCAAAAGCATATTATAAAGTCGATATTCATGGAAAAATATACTTATTAATATTTTATCTAATTCTCTTATCCTAATAATAGTTTCGGGATACCATAACATTTCACCGTTTTTTTTTATTTATCCTTATACTAACATTCATAATATGCTAAAGAAATAAATTAGTAAAAAATCAGGTAAGGTCGATTACGTTTTAGTCGTATTTTTTGAGAAATTGGAATAAAATCATTAGTACAGCTATCCGTTACAAATGATATTATATATGATACAGATAGGTAAACATAATAAGGAAGAACTCAATAAATTACATCATCAACAAAACGTTAGATATCATACACATTAGTAAATAGTTGTTATTTATGGTCAAATAATATTTATGACTAAAACTGTCTACCTATCATTTACACGTAGATATCAGAAAGGTAAACTTGTTGAGATGATATCATTGCTGGTAAATATTTGTTACTGTTGATATGATAAATTAGAATATTTTCTCTTTTAATTGTTTGAATTTTTACGTATGCGGAGCCAACTTTAAATAACTAATGGACTTGACATATTAATTTTATTACTTATTTCTTAATTTTCCATTTTTCGGTAGCCGTTAGTGGTCTGGAGGACCTAACTATGGAGATATTAGATAAGATAAACAGAGAATACGTTCCTATGAATTCAAAAATGACTTACATTTAAAACACGATTAGATCGACAGGATGTGAATGAATCAATTAACCTATAATTGATATTTTTTGTTAAGAAAGGTGTTATACAGAGAGCATTTTAAATACAGTTTTACCAATGTCTTTCGATAATTTCAGATGAAGAAAAAAGAAACGAAGCATGAGAAGACAGCTCAACAGATCCACGACGAGCATCTGGCACAACGTATCAGGGAAGCCTGGTCCATTCTTGAGAGGCTCGTCAATCAGAACGTCTATGATGATATAGGTAAAACAAAACTTAACTGGATTCCTTAAAATTCGTATAATGACTTCAAGTCACGATACGAGATAACTAGGTTCCACATCAATGCTTTGTTCAATTATTTTTCTTTTACTTCTCGTTACCCGTGGGTGCATAAGTTTTTAGTAACTTCTACCCTACGACAAAAGAGTGCCCCATTTTATGCCTAATAATAACATCTATTAAATAAAATTAAATACCTCGGCATTCTCATTGAAGACTGCGCTGGTTTAAGCGGTCGCCACGCCGCTTTTTAATACGCTGAGTGGGGTTCGATCCCCACATGGGACGGCTCTTTGTGTGATCTACAAATTTTTGTTCTGAGTGGGTGTTCTTTGTGTCCGTTTCATGCATGTTTGTAAAGTCCCAAAGGAGTTGTCTTTTCTAACAAGTGTAAATGGACATGTGCATATAAATAGCAGAAGATGACATTCTTAAAATAGTCTATTCCTCACTCTGTCAGACTATTGTGGCATACTGTATATCCCTTTGGGGAGGTGCCGCCAGGACGGTGTTTCTGCCGCTTGAACGAGCAAAAGAGCAACGAATTCAAAACTCTAAACGTTAGTAAACTCCTTGCACACCGAACAGTATTTACTGTTTTTTTATTTTCTATCTATGAACCGCATCTTTTTATTTAGTGTCTATTGACGAGTTCTTGAAATGACCGATGACCGATTCCGTAGGCTCTCTGACGTCTTCATTATAACTTATTAAAACACTACCAACAGATCACTTTGCGTTGCCATTCAGCCCCCACCCTCTGTCTGCTACGACAATTATTCCTTACGTAACCAGTTAATAAAGTAGTACCTTCAGATGTAAGTAATCTCTTATTTTTAAACCAGCTCAAGATTATCGTTACTGGGATGATCCATCCGACGAGTTCCGTGAAGGTATGGGGTCACTGCTGCCGTTGTGGAAGTTTCAATTCGATCCAATGTCAAAACACGCCGTCTGTGATGTACAATGGAACACACACTATCAGGATCTTTTCGCTGTGGCATACGGCTCTTGTAAGTAGTACTGCTATTTATACTTACATGGTCAAAAGTGTTATAGATTTAATGAAGGGGTTAAGCAAGCATACACCAGATAAAGGGCTAAGGCCACACAACTGATTTCAAGAAAATACCGGAGTTTCAAACCCCTCTTCTCATTAATTGTGGGGAATGGACTCAAAGCGCTGTGAGGCATTTATGACTCTAGTTGCAGGTTCCATGGGCGGCGTTATTCACTTACTATCAGGTGATCTGATTCTCGTTTGTCTCCCTATACCAAAAAAGTAAATAAATGGACACAACACACTACACACTTTCTGCTACCTTTTACTAGGCTAGATCGCGGATAATAGCAATGAAATCTACGCATAAATCGACTGAATACTTTAGTGTTGTTTATTATATTTTCTATTCTAAGCGTCTCTGTTAAATTTTCCTATCAGGAGTTCAACCATACAGAAGAATAATTGCTTACAGGAATATGTAAGATAAATAAAATAAAAGAAAGTAATGTTTACATCTACTATAATGCATAATGAATAATATTTCTCTGTTTATCAAGGATCCAAAGTAGCTTCAACACAAAACTAATAACAAATGTGTACGTATCAAATACTTGTAGGGGACAAATTGACACTGATCATAAAAGAGAAACCAAACTCAATTACGTATTGCAAACAATCGTGTACGTATAGGGGTGATAAAAACGGTCAGTAAATAGCCCGATTCAATAGCACTTGATATGTAATAGAGTGGGCAATCAATGTCGAAGGCTGAACTATAATGTTCATCGGGTTCCCACTATACTTGCTGATTTTGTAACATGATTCATAGCCTCATTTGTATCTAACTTATTCATGGCATAGGGGGGCAAACCAGCAGACGGGTCACCTGATGGTAAGTGACGGTAAGGTAAGTGGGGGGCGGTACTCATAAGAGTCAAGTGCGTTGCCAATCTTTTAGTTAGGGTGGGGACTTCGGGTTTTATTAAGTTAACTCAATCGTTTAAAAGCAACGAAAGAATTGCTTAACTCCGGTTTTCTGTGAGGCCGTGGTATCACCGGGCGAGCTGACCCATTTCTGCCAAAGCATAGCTCTCCCGAGGCCAACTAATTTAATAACAGTCCAGAAGCATCTGAATAGTATATTTTAACCTCTTTCTGCTGTTCGCATCCAATTAAATGCACAAAAACATACCAGCTTGTATGTGTATCCTAAATGTATCCTAAAATTTGGTATTTTAGATTTAGCTCTAATCGGTTGATGACTATTAGTGTCCATTTAGGCTTATATATTTCCTTTTGATTTGTTAAAAATATTCCAATTGGTGTCGTCTAGGGAAACGCTTTTGTTTCCCACGTGATGGAGGGTGGCAGGTAGATTTTTTAACTCGTGAAAGAACTGGTAATAATTCCTTGCTAATGAAGATTAAGTGGCTGAATATAGATATAAAACCACTAAGGTTCTATATCTATATTTTTTATTGGGGCAAGAACGTTGCGCGATGCGGGACCCATAGTTGCTATGTAGTAAGACATTATCCGTGCGGTAAAAGATAAAGAAAATGGAGTGTCACAGTAAACCACGCAGGATAACAGCACTGAAAAAGAGAAGCAAAACTTGAAAGAAACCCTATACCAACCCGTCTGGCCAGCGTTGTATAGTAGGTCAAAACCTCATTACTAATTAGAGGCCGATGTCCAACAGTGATGATGATGAGTGAGACATGTCTTCGCTAGATAGCGCTGATACATATTTTTACATAGGTATGTCGGGACAGAAAGTAAATTAAATCATGAGAACGGATAAAGATCTCACTACAATACCATTCCTCAATTGGCTAGTAATCAATGTAATCATCTAATCCACTCGTACATGTTAAATTCAATTGTACTGAGGTTCCTGAACATTCGCCCACAATGTTGTCTGGTTACTTTAGTCCCTATTGGATTTGAATCTGTGTTCAATAGTGATGTAGGATGGAGATTTATATTACTCGCAATCGGTTAAAATTCTATAACATTTACCTTAAAAGAGGTTTGGATTGTTTTGTTTCATAACTTTTACAAAAAAAATATAAAAACTTGGACAAAACTTTTTTCTGATCAGCAGCAGCAGCATTTTCTTGTCATCAGCAGTCGATCATTTCCTTATATGTATGAGGCGCTGTTCTTTTGCACACAACACACACCAAACCACCCTGGTGAGGATTACTACGAACTAGACTTTTCCCGCAGTTTCACTATATGATTGTGATGTGTTCTTAGCTTTCTACTCTATAGAATATTATACATACCTTTTGTTTATAACATAATCGATAAATGATTCGATTCACAAAATTCTTAGATAGTAAAAGTTTCAATCGAATAATAGTGTTTTTGTTTTACATCACTAAATCGACAACATAATTTTAGTAAATGTTCCAAGCAGGCTACATTTAATTTAAATAGATCTAGAATGCTAGAGTTATCCATTTATATATGTAAGTACATATAATTGGTTATGCTTTCTTACAGTGGACTTCACGAACCAACAAAAGAACGGTTGCTTATGTATGTACAGCATCAAGAATCCCGCCTACCCCGAATATGCTGTCATTACGGAGTCCCCAGTAATATGCATCGATGTATACAGGGAAATACCTTACCTTTATTGTGTTGGTATGACAGATTTATAAAATTACTATACAAATTTAAACGTATTCAACAAATACATTAAAACTCGATTAGATAACTCGTACTTCCAGACCCGCACTTGCTATTGCTTCCAGTCTCCAGTCTACCCTTGTAAGCAGTGCCTCTTTTCTGCCTTTTCATTGCCTATTCCTATTTACTAACTTTTTTTCCGAATTTTCTTGTCCAATTCCTAGTGTTCGATTTTTATTTGTGTATTCGTTTTTGTATTTTTAAATAGCACTATTAATTGTCATTTTATATTTATAAATGTTTAGTTCATAGCTTCTTTTCTTCTTCTATTGTACATTTGCACCCATGTCCTTTTCTGAACCATGTAAAGGTTGACTGAAAGACAATGAAATGTGGCATTAAGTCCGTCTCGTGCAAATTGTTATGCAGGAATACCGTGTGAAAATATATAGGAAACCGATATATACTGCACGGAAATAAAAGTAAAATAAAATAAATATTACGTAAGTAGAATTGAAAGTTGTAGTTGGCATAGCATAGGCATTTTTGCGCTTCTGCTTAACCCTTTGGGGATGTAGGCGTACATACACTTTGATTCATTTCAGTACTATGAAATGAATCAAAGTGTATTACTGCCACTGTCCGCCAAGTAATTAAAAACCCCGTTTAGCTTATGAGGGGTTTATAATTTTTCTCACTGTTATCTCAAAATAAATACCAAAGATTTAACATAATAAGTGGTCATCACAGCATTAATTTGTCAAAGTTTAAATAAAATAATACTCAGTATTGAGGTTGTCGTTTAATTTCTCGTCTAATGATTACAGGACTGTATGATGGAAACGTTTGCGTGTACAATGCACAGTTAACACTACAAGCGGCGTACCAATACAAATCGGATTCGGTTAGAGATAAACACAGCAACATTGTGTGGGAGGTACGACTCAAGATACAATTTAAACGCTGTCAATAATCAATCTTCAGTTTTGTAAACTCAAATCTATACAAATTATAGAACTTATAATCTATCGAACCTATGTAAAAGAAGTAGATAAGATATTTTTAACGTCGTAATAATACTTCATCAAAAGTAATAGTATTAAAATATTAAATAAGTAGACTACACCTGACTATCCCTTCAGGGATAAAGACGTAGGTGTATGTAAATGAGTGTGTTTTGAATATACTATTTCCGTGTAGAAACCGTCACAGGTCTGCGACGCAGTCGTTGTTTTACTCGAACCGACTCAAATCATACGGAATTGCGTTCGTTCTCGTCGTGATCCTATTGCAAGGAATCCACCGTATATGCCTTACGAAGGAAGGAAATACAGTTACCTAAGTCTTGTAAAAATAAACTATCAGTTTTTCTTAATATTTATTAAGATAACTTGAGATAATACCCAAAAATTACCAACACATTATTACGTACATATTATAAAGATCCGATGGGGTCCCCGCTTAATCGACGGAGAGGCATCATTCTTCTCGATATCCGGAGATGGCCGTGTAGTGCAGTGGGCTGTGATGCCAGGTGAACTTCAAGCCACTACGATCATCACACTGTCTTCCAACGCACCGCCTATAGCTGGCCCTGATGGAACCATGCTCACCGTCAACAGTAAGTATATTTAGTGTAGATAACTAAACCACGTCAGCTTTTGCCTTTAAGTCCTTAATAACTGGCATACTTGCGCAAACATCAAAACAATGTTGTGATATGCGACTGTATCTAGCTGTAATTAACAGAAATAAAATATTAATTCATTACAGCTAGCTGCTGTAATGAATTAATATTTGACAAAACAGATTGTTGCTACTGTGTGTCGATCTATTGCTTTAGAGTATAAGACGATATCAAATATTTTTGTACTTTTTGTTATGAAATAAAGTTATTTTGAGTTTGAAAATTACTCTTTAAACATTTCTTTCGTCTACTAAATCTTTTACATTTAAGTTTATTTCCTTCTACCGGTTTTTAAATAGTATTCCTCATAACAAACAACAAACAAAAAAGTTTATTTTGAAATTTTAACCAGTGATACATTGCTGGTGGTTTTCCATCAGGCGAGACAACAGCGAACTGCTCCGGATCTGACAAAAAGTATTTCGGTAGACGTAGATGATGAATAAATTGGAGAATCTTTAGAAGCAATAGATACTCAACCTAATTATTTTAGTTTTATTTAAAAGAAGATTAGTAGGGTCAATATTTTAGTTAGCGAGTGTTCAACTCAAATGTCACTGACTGAATGTGATGACTTGACAATAACAACTTCTATCAACTTCTATCAAAGTATTGTACCAATTGAAGTTTAAAGCTAAAGATAGATTTATTTGTCAGTCTATAGTACAATATACATAGATGTTAACATTATTTTGCGTCTCTTATACACTACAATATCTGGTGTAGAAATTTTTAATCTTACGTAACTAATCTCAAGCCTAGACAATAGTATTTCTTTTATATTCCTTTGTAGTTGAAAAATTCGTTAGTGGAATAATTACAATTGTTTATAAGTAATTTAAATAGTTTACGTTTAAGTGTTCAAGTTGAGGCATTTGATTCAATTGAATGTATAGCATTGAAGTTGTAATATTTTATATTGCACAAATAGGTTTACAGCTGTCAGTGTTTTAAACAGTAATATCTTGTATATTTGTATAGACAGACGACTTCTATTACAGGTTGCGGAAGCTGTATTTGCTTCCACCCAGAGAATCCTGAGCTGTTTCTTGTTGGGACCGAAGACGGGATGATCCACACTTGTTCTCTCAAGTACAACAGGAACTACGTGCGATCCGTGCAAGGACACCACATGCCCGTCTACAGAATCCATTATAACTACTTTAATAACAGCATCTACGCGTCATGCTCCGGCGACTGGAGAGTCAAAATATGGGAAGATGGACGGGAGTTAGTATAATGTTGAAACTTAACAGATTAGCACCTGTTGTTGTAAAGACAAATTTATTTATTAAACAACTACAAATGAGAAAACCAGTTTATCCGTCGCCGTCTTATACTGTAGTGCTTAGTTTTACATAGATTTATTAATTATGAAAAGTAATACGTGCATACCTAGAGCCTTCGACATGTTTTCGAGACTCTTGAATCCTGCCAGACCACACTAAGCCACTACATGCACTAAGCCACTACATACACCAGCACACACATGATGGACAAAGAATTACTCACTTCTCTCCGGAAACTAATAGGACGCTTATCATGAATGTACTTTTGCTTCTTCAGCGAGCCATTGTTCATGTTCGAGCTCGGTTCGCCCGTGGGTGACGTAAAATGGGCTCCGTACTCCAGCACGGTTTTCGCAGCGTGCACTGCAGATGGCAAGGTACCTATATCAAAATATACAACTAAATGTTTTCTTTCAAAAAGTACTAACTTTAAAAAAGTTAAGTAAGATAACCAAACTTGTCGTATGTACTCGTATTATGAGTTTTATGATTTTCTTATATTATAACAGTATAAACTTTGATTAGCGTTCTTTAAACCACGAAATTTATGAACTTTTTTGTCTTGGAATTGGAATGTTATTAATAAGTGTTTATTTAGTTTCCATACATCTATATTTATATTTTATTAACTTTAAACACACTGTTAAATAATTCTTAAAGCCTAACTTTTGGTTAAATATGAAAATAAAAAATTTGAAAATCTTTCGGCTACAAAACGGCTAAATTTCGATAAATGACCACAGGCTTTTTTAAATAACCAATAACTGCAAATTTCTTCAGATACAGATTGCATAGAATTAGGTACGTTTCTTTAGAAAATAAATGTTCATTTTTATATACGTAAGTAGCAATGGGTAAATTATAACGGCTGTGAAACGTCTTTAGCTATCTATTCGCTAAATTATAAATCATTGGCCAGCATTGACGAAAACTTATGCCTGTGTAAGTCATTTTTGGAGAAGGATAGTATCAGGCAAGCCCATTACAGGATAGTTTTCGATGTTTGTAAAGAGATCTTTATCTGTCTAGGTTTACGTATTCGACTTGAACGTGGACAAATACAGGCCTATTTGCGTGCAAGCCGTTGTCTCCAAGAAAACTAAGAAACTGACCCGATTGGACTTCAACGAGAGGTTACCGGTCATTGTCTGCGGAGATACGAAGTATGTACTTACTCGTATCTAGAATCCGTCCCTTTATCAGATGACATTATTGTTTCTCGTAATTTAAGGATGGGTAGGTTTACCTACCTTACCATAAAGATCGAAAGATTTATAGTTGTTGAGATGTTTTATAGTTCATTCGAGTTCATGATTATGATATTGGTTAAAAGTTAAATTAGTATGAAGTAGAGTTAGAGTAGATAAACAACTTTTTTACAATCCGTGTTATTTTATTAGTCAAACGAGGTAATGACTTTAACTGTTAAGTATAATATCCTAGATGATTTCAGAATTCATTTTTTTTATAAAGTTTCCAATAGGCCTTTATATAAACATTAGAGTATATATATCCAATGGAAGTGTTAGGTTTACGCAAACTGCCAAAGACCGGGGAAATAATTTTAAAATGTGATATTCGCTTAAATCTTGCGCGGTTATGATTGTTATTCTTATTCTGTATGTTTATTTGATGTAACAAATGATAAACTAGCTTTGGTATATATGTCTTATACAAATACGTAAGGAACTACATTCGCAAAAACAACCTAACGGCTCATTTGATTACCGTTAAGCTGTTTCTGTTGCAACGGCTAATTAAATGTAAGTAGATTTCTATAGCCACTATTTCTTTATTAATTATTAGACAGAACTAATTAAATTTTATTGCAAATTTAGTTTAATAAATATTATATCCACCAGATCCAGATCTGATTAAATCTGATGTTTATCATCCGTATGATATATTTCGGACAATAGTTTTTCCTATGATAATCACTTATCTGGTTCAAACTTTAATTTTACAAAACCCTTTTTAACTTATCATGTATATTTACCATTGTCTTTGTCTCATAACCCTATTGTGGCAAGTAAGCAGTTATTTCGTCACCATTCACGTGGCCTCCATAGCTCAGGGGTTAGAGCACTGGTCTTGTAAACCAGGGGTCGAGAGTTCAAATCTCTCTGGGGGCATCTGTCAAAACTATCTTTTTGTGCTCTCTTAACAATTTTTATTAACGTTTCACTTAATATTTTCAGAGGCACGTGTCACGTGTTAAAATTATCACCGAATTTACGAGTTATGTGTAAACCACCCAAAAAAGCAAAGGAAGTAATTGAACAGAAAACACTTCAGGTAATTAGCAGTTATTTCCTCATTCTTAACATGGCCTCCATAGCTCAGGGATTAGAGCACTGGTCTTGTAAACCAGGGGTTTAGAGTTCAAATTGTTATTGCTAATTTTTTTTATAATGGAAATATTGACGGATATATGATAAATGAAACACTTGTAAGTCAATTCAAGTTTTTAAGTCTCTTACACGTAATGAAGGTACTAGAAATAATAGAATACAGAAGTGAAGGGCACTACGATCAATATAGAAAGTAACATATTCTTTGATATTTCAGATAATGAAGCTGGATAAACTCATTAGTTTAGTACGAGACCCTCCTTTCCAAACTGGCGTGGTTGACGAAAAGTTTGAAGACGATTAAACCCCCTAAGAAGAAATGTTTTTACTTCTGTTATTATCTATTAGCTTAATATAAATTTAAATTAAACACTTGTTCACTTATTATTGTATTTAATAAAGCTTTCAAATTATAACCTAATTAAACTGAAGAGCGCCTAGAGAGAAGGCACGTAATACCAAAATGCTGATGCTGATAAACTCTATAAATAAAACAAACCATTTATAATGGTCGCTTTTGAACACTATGCTAACTTTAGACTAGACCATTGCAAGAACTTAAGCGACAATGTCAGTTCTTCCAATCATCACCATCAACCTTTAATAGCCACTGGACATAGGCCACCCTTAGAAATGAAGTTTTGTTTCTTACAATAATCTTGCCTAATATAATCTTATAATTATGCAAAAATCAAATTCGATTACCTAATCTAGATCAATAATAACTTTTTGTTATTGTACTGACTAGTTTGTATCTATAATCTATAAATTATTGCGCATTCGAGTAGACTAGAAAAAATACATTATAACAATATATTATAAACGCTGTAAACAGCTTAATTAATTTTATATTCAGTAAAAATTCTAGTGTTAGAGTAAACAAACAATAAACCATTTATAAATAAATTGACTAGACTTTGAAATACATTATAATAACTTGAATTACATAACTATATAAAATGACGAACTCAGTGTCGTCTGGCAAATTCATAATGAATATATTCGATTCAAACAATCCTTTGTTTACGAAAATAATACAATAAATTTCAATAAGCGATTATTACACGACGCGCCTGTAAGATTAGAATATTTTTGTTAATGATTTTGAAAAAGGAAAATGTTCTTATTTCGTCTTAAGTTTTTTATTTTATTTCAATGAGTTCTATGAATAGAGCTTCAATTTTCGAGTAACAACATTTAGTTAGTTCTTGTAATCAGATTTACAATACTGTGCACAATACATCGCCTTTATTTCTATTCGTCTCTTATAAATGTTCATGTCTCTCAAACGAGTCCGTTTTTGACGAGCCAATATTCCTTTCCATACTACTGACTATTGACTAGACTATTATTAATTAATGAATTTAACTTTACCAATCAAAATATTTCGAATATTTGTTAAGAACGCTGTCTTTTTAAGCATGTGCATTTACAGATTTATAATCTAAGCCCACATAGCCTTATTAAAGATAGCTTACGAAAATATTAATAAATATATTTAGTTCATACTTCATTTTTATTTTAATATTTTCCCCCCAGGATGTTACCGATGTGTAACTATAGTCCATCTAATCCAAGAGGTAGGTACCGTGTGACGGTGCATACTTTTCAAGACGAAACAACTTTGTATAGACGTAACTCACAATTTCAATAACCTTTTACGTAAAACCATGGGGGTATGTAGCTATTTTTATTTTTTCGCAAGATATAAAATTCTTAATGAGTAAATTTAAATCTTTGAAACAGCAAAATAACTAATTTATACACACAATAGATTTTTTTTTTTCAATCTTCATTTCAAAGTACGTCGTTAGGTCCTTTACCGGTGTTACCGGCTCTTCAAATATAATAGGGAATAATTGTTAAAATGTACGAAAAATCGAATTTATTAATAACGAGTAATTTTCAGGCCGGGCGTCTTACGAGTGTTCCATCAAAATCGCAAGGAAAGCGTATAATTAAAATGTACGTAATGTAATATTAAATAAATCTTTGTAGGCAAAAATCGCTCGGGTCTAAGTCTAGTGTATACTAAGATTTACTAGTAAAACCTATGATGTGCCATTACACGGGTTTTTATAGTAACATACAAAAATCTGTAAAACTGTATTCGATTAGTAAATACTAAGAAATGATATCGAAATCTCTTAAGAATCAGACATTTTAGTAATCGATTTCTTTGACCCCATCGCTATACTTCAATCTGTCAGAACTGTCAAACGGTACCTCTTAGATTAGATGGACCATAGTATATTTTTATCAACATCGTAAAATTTGATCATTAAAATTGGCAGGTAGTAGCAAATAGACAGTATGTGGAGCTGGTGACTACTAATTAAACAAGCGTATTAGAAAAAACGTGATCACGGGTGCAGACTACCAATTGTGCCCGAGGTCATGATTGAAATATTTTAAATATATTACAAAGATGTAGCGTGGGTTCCTAAATAATTTTACGCAGAGTGACAGCTCTGGTGTTGCCAGGTTCTATAGGCTTAATAAAACAGTTATGACAGTATAAGCATACCTAATTAAGGCAATAACACTTAGTGCAGCCTCTTTAAAATTCAAACGCTAATTAGTTCTATTTTAGAACAATATCACAAAAATATTTTTAACAAACTATGTATATCACAAGAAAATATAAAAGCAATAACAAAATACTGATTAAGGATATAATAGCTTCGGTCCAAGTTTATCACATCGCTCGACGGAATTGGCGCCAAGTTTAAGGTCCAGAAACGCTCTGGCGTCGTTAGGAGCGGGCGCTTGCCGTCCAGCGAATGTAATCTGCAAAAGAATTATGATAAAATAGTTTTTCTTTTTTTGTAAAATCCTAAAACAGCAGAAATCTGTTTTTAAATTATTGAAGTTTAATCATATACGCAATAAAAATAAAATTCTAAACGTCCATAATAGTGTTCTAGCTAATTAATCACCATATCCCATGTTGTTTAGTTTTTACGTGTGTTTAAGAGTTCATCGCTCATGTTATTATACACTAAAACCAAACATTTTATTGCGGTTTACATTTTTTCACGACATTCTAAAAGAAAATAACAATAAGTTACCTTACATGCCTAGGAAAAAAATAAAACCGAAATGAATCGATAAATGTGTTTTCAGGAGCAAAATTCGAGAATGGCTATACCAATTCGGCTAAAGCCCTAAAGGAAGTTTCTTATAGAAAAAAACGTAAAATTGCGAGAAAAATAGTAAAAACAACACTGTTCCTATATAAACCACGCTAACATTTGAATTTAATCAAAACAAAACAACATCGCGTTAGAATGCGACACGTGTCAATTTACAATTAAAGGTCACTACTGAACCACACCACTGGGGAAGTTGTATTTATGGTTGTAATTGTATCGATTACAACAAAACTAAATTAATTTATAAAATATGATCCGATATTATACAATAACTACTTATTCAATTTTTATGGTGTGTGTACTTCATCTGTTATCTTTAAACTTTAAAGCAACTTCTGGAAACTTCTAGGAAAAGCTTTTTAAAATGGTCAGTAAAAATAATTGATATCGATAAGATTTACTGTTTCATGCATAAGTTTTGTGTTAGAACTTCACTACGACGCAGCGGTGGCGTCGTTAACAAAAAAAATATTGTAAACGACACCCCCGTGGAGTGGTTCAGTGGTGTCATTTACAAAACACGACGCGACAGATAAATAACTTTTGAAGAAGACTGTCAGGGCAGCTAGTTTTATATAAAATACTATTAAGTTAGGTAGTTTAGAAAAAAACCTTACCTGAGCTAGTGGATGCAAATGTCTCTCAGGGAATTCTCTTTGATGTGCCAACACCCAATCGGCAGGCCACATAGTCCCATTTCTAGGGCTGAACGGTAATATAAGCACATATACTCTATTAGTCGCTGAATAAGCCACCCTATAGTAGTGACCTTTAGTAGCTCGTTCCCACACGTAGCCGTCGGCGTCAGCACCACCTCGCTGAAGCCAGGACACACGAGTCACGTCTGATGCATGGATCCCAATTTCTACGTGTTCTGCCCATGGTAATATGTCGCCTCTGAAAAACAAATCAGCAGTGAAAAACAATCAAGACTCTTATTTGGTGTCTTCAACTAATACTGATATGTGGTTATGAGATGATACACTATCAATCTAATAATAAGTCTTCAAGTTACCTATTTGAAGTTGGATATTTTTAAAATCAGCATTTTCAGATTTAATTATATGTGAATTGGCGCACGATTCTAAATTCAAATAAATTTTATTTGAAAGCCATTTTATTTTAATTCAAAATTCAGTCATTTGTTTTAGATAGTGTTTTTTTTTTTGTGAAATTGTGGTAGTTTTTGGCGCCATGGATAAACAGAAAATTGGTACAATTTTCGATCATGAGTTCCTACGTGGATGATACGTAGTCCAGCAAACTGCTACGGTAAAGAGATAAACAAACTGCACTTAAAATGGCAAAATTGTACCTGTAGGTAATTTGATTTGATTAGCTCAAATAATAAAATAACCAAAATGTTTATATTTCAAACTTTTCCCACAAGTCTTCAACTTCATTGGCCAATACCTAATAGAAGACCATTGGTCTTAAGTGTCGTAATCAAGTAGTTGGTATTTCTAATTTGACCAAACATCAGTAAGTGAGAATATGAATTCATATTTTATCGACTGCACCAGAAGTTAAATTTTTCGAGTGTATGTATGTATATTTTATTGGCACGCTGACTCTAGACATGGAAATTATTGGTACTTTTAAATCATGTTCAAATAATGAACTTATTGGTATTAGTCACAGCGATTTATCTGTGATTGTGATTTGGTCATAGATTGAGATAAATGCCATTAAAATAAATCAAAATCCTTTTTATCAAAGATTACGAGTTTTTATTTGATTTAGACCTTTCGCGAGCCTAGCGCTAACGTAAGAATAATAATAAGTCGCAGTGGTTTTGTAAATTAGTCAGAGGTGTGATTCATCATTTATAAATCACAGGTGATAGTGATTTTATGTAATCCCTAGCACACTCTGTAGCCCAAACGGCTAGATGGATTTTGGCGTTTGATGAGTCATTCGTCTACATTGTGAGTGACACTGGATATTTGAAAGTTATAAAAATTAAAATCTCCGTTTTGTAAATGTATTTTAAGTACACATACATTAAAAGGCAGTCGGATTTTTTGTTGTTTTTTTTTTCAGTAATTAGCTTGTTTATTTTATTAGGTGATAACCTATAAAAATAGATATATATTTATAGGTATGGAAATAAATAAATGAAAAATAAAAAGATTTTTTCTGAGATCACTATGAAAATTTACCTCAAAACAGCCCCAAGTAAGGAGGTGGTCTCTAGCCAGCACCTCGCGCCCGCTTGCAACAACGCGCGTAAAACATGACCGGCCACACGTCGCATATTACGACGACAGCAAGGCGGAGTGTTGCGGCCTGACAAAATGTACGAAGGTGTGCCTTGCACAGGTGGGTAACATCGCTATTAACAAAGTAGAAGCTAGATTAGGTGGTGGTTTATACAAGGATGTACTTTAGAGCCACCGTAATTTCGCCAATTCTCGGAAGAAAAAATCGGTCGAAATGCAGTTCCGATCAACTCTCGATCTCACAAAGGTATTTTTATAGTAAAGTCTTAAACATCCAACGTTGACTGTAATGGGATTATATCGTATTGTGACCAAGAATTGAATCGGTAATCTGCTAGTCTTAAGTAGACCGGAACTGTATTTTGACCGAATTTTTATTACGAGAGCTGGCCTTTAGGTGATTTTTGATTGGTCAATAATATGATTGTTCTGACAGTCAGTATGAAACGAGAGAATAATAATAATAACTCCGCACATCTCACACACAGCGGTCTGATCCCAAACTAGGCAGAGCCTGTACTATGGTAACCAGACTGCTGATAAACATAGGTACTTATATATTTCTATATATATATACATATTATAGATAGACTGCACGGATGGCGTAGTGGTTTAAGCGGTCGCCACGCCGCTTCCTACTGCGCCGAGTGTTGTGGGTTCAAACCCCACATGGGACGACACTTTGTGTGATCCACAAATTGTTGTTCTGAGTCTGGGTGTCCTTTGTGTCCGTTTCATGTATGTTTGTAAAGTCCCCCGCGACACAGGATTTATTCCTAATGCGGGCGTTGTCTTTATTTAAAAAAAAAAAAAAAAAAAAAATTACACCCAGAAAGATGAGATATAACCAAACTCTCATTTTTATTTTCATGTGTTTCTACTGCTGAGAACACACAGGCTCTGCTTAAATCTGACTAAAATCTCCTTTGGCTCAAATTACACTGATAAGCTGAGCTTATACGATAAGATATAGCTTGACGGGCCTGTTGGTCTAGTGGTTAGTGACCCTGACTAGTAGGCCGGAGGTCGTGGGTTCGATTCCCACCCAGGACAAATAATTGTGTGATGAGCACGATCATTTGTTCTGTGTCTGGGTGTAATTTATCTATATTATGTATGTATTTAGAAATATATAAGTATGTTTATCAGCAGTCTGATTACCATAGCACAGGCTCTGCCTAGTTTGGGATCAGACGGCCGTGTGTGAGATGTAAACAAAAAAAAAAAAAAAATATATATATATATATAGCAACTGAAATAAAGAATTGGGAATTAATTAGATAACAATTTATAAGCCGTTAAAAATGAAGATTAAAACATTATTATTGTTGTTTGGATGTTTTCTCTAAATTGTAGTAATTATAATTTTACTTCACAAAAAATAATGTTTGTTCTTAGGAAGCCTATCCAAAAATATTGGGTTCATACTACTGAAATTTTACTGGACAACTCCTTTCTGCTCTGGCATAGAGCAGGCTTGTTGGCCAGTTTTGATTTAAAAAAGAATATATTTACCTGTGTCTCCCTCTTACACCCAAACCACTGCACCCTGCCGTCCTCCCTGAAAACTGCCTTGATGCCCAACTGTTTATACAGAGCTACTCTATAATCTCTCATGTGTCTTGAAGCCCTCTGTCTCCCTCCTGGAGTTTTGAGGATTCCATGACCGGCACCCAGCTTGCCATCTGCTATTTGTATCTGTAATAATGTACAAATAAATATAAGAACCAAATTACTATGTTTGGTTTCTGATTGATTGATGTTGTCTAATAATGCACATAATTTAAATACTAACACCGTAAGTAAGTTTCAGCAATGTACATAGGATGTTAGGTATTGAAATGATATCATCAACAGCCTTTAGTAGTCCACTGCTAGACATTGGCCTCTTCATAGCAAGGTTTTAATTGAGGTTGAATTGAAAATTAAGTTAAAAAAATGATAAATTGCAATGACAAATATACTTATTTGTATTTAGATTACAATTAACCATGGTCTTAAGAAGAATTTGACAAATTTAGCAATTTTTCTATTAAATGTCATCAGCAGTATTCATAAGGTTTATAGAAAAAGGAAATTAGTTCAATTTGTTAATGATTTGATATATGAACTGCAAGTGCTTATTAATTTATTAATCTAATTGTTAATCATGGCTGACGCACCTTATGCTTTCTATTTATTACTATTACTGACCCAATAACTAATTTTGTTTGCCTTTTCTAGTATAAGGCCAAACTACATGGCCTTGTCTATTTTTGTTTATCAAAACCAAAGATACTTATACATGTAAAAATATAGACTTATGAGGGGTTAGCCTTTTTTCAGAACATTAAAAAAATATGTTTTCCTACCTCACATACCTATAACTACAACCAACACTTTTTATTATAAAAGCTATTGAATCCTAACATTAGACTATTTATTACCTTGATATTTTTTACAGCCAATTGTAAATATAGTGACTCCGGAAATGGTAAACCAAAGGGCTGTGGCAGTTTATGAAGTACTTCAGTCCTGATTAACAGAGCATGTTGTCCATGGACAGCATCACATATCTTGCCTGAAGCGTCCTTGCTATAATGCAGTGTCCAATCAGCATACTTCCATTGAACTTGCTGACAAGTTAAGTGAGAATTACCAACACTAATTACTACAGCATGTATTTTGCCGCTCGACACAGCCACCATTGCCAGTTGTAAAACACGTCTTGAAACCCGGGTAGAATCAGGTACAAATAACACATACTCAGTTGATATATGGGTCAAAGGATTAAAATCTTGAGGTAAAGCATTAAGCTTGAGTGCTAAAGATATAACTTTCACATTACGCAAAGTTTCGTTCGTAACTGAAAAAGGAAACGGCGGATACGGCGTAGTTTCACACACAATAACCACTGGCATATTTGGGAACGCCGAAACGAAGGACTGGACGCTGTCCGCGATATCATTTTCAAAATCCTCAAACTGACGAAAAACCACAGTTATTAATTTAGATAAATGTCGAGACGAACGGCCGTGTAGTGGATTAGGTGACACAGTAACAGGAGCTATGGGATAAAAACGAATCTGGGGAAATAAATAACTACATACTGAAACTATCAATATTACTGAGACAACGACATAAAATTTAAATGTCAAGCGCCCTCGAAACAAACGGTAGAGCATTATTTACATAAACAATTTGGAGCATTTCAGTCATTGAGTACATAGAATATTTTCTATCATCGATAGTCTGAATTAATAATTCTTCATTCATACTATAACCATATCAAGTAATATCAACTAATTGATTTGACAAGACGAGTGAGTCAAGTGACAGGTAGACGATATTGCCATATTTTTTTTGTTTCATTTGCATTCATTGCTTTGACGTTATATAAACCAATATTGCTAGGGCACAAAATAAAATGCTATGCAGACCATCAATGAAATGCTTTGAAAAAAAAAGTATTTCTTCTAAACTGCCATACTTCGGCGTCTGACAACGATGATTCGAGGTGAGGCTCCTCGATCACCTTTGGCTGTTATAAAGTGATAGCCTAGGTAGTACTGTCAAGAAGCCCAACGCAAAAACAATTTTTAGCAAAATATCTAAGGAATGGAGATTTTACCATTTAGAACCTGATTGAAATGAAATCTAATAGCCAATATGTGCTATTAAAAAACAGCGAAAGAGTTCAGGTAGTTTAATAAAAAAATATCGCCTCAAGAAAAACCAGATTATCCAAGGATTTAGAGATTTTGAAAGTGTTTGGGACAAGTTTTAGAGTTGGTAGCATTTATGTCACGTCACATTACATTATATGTCAAAGTCAAAATTTACGTTTGTAATTGCCGAATACTTTTGAGGCATACATACATAATAATTTGTCTAATTTATTTACTCCTTGAAAATGGAAGACGATAAAGATTTCGAACCACTAGAACCTTCATTAAAGAATGTTATTGAGCAGAAATCTTTAAGATGGATATTTGTTGGAGGGAAAGGAGGTGTTGGCAAAACTACGTGCAGGTAATTCTTGTAAGACATCAAATAAGAGGCATAACCAATTGAATATTCTTCTCTAATTGTGAATATTGTTTTTAGCTGTAGTCTCGCTGTACAACTGTCCAAGGTCCGAGAGTCCGTTCTCATTATTTCTACAGATCCAGCACATAATATCTCAGATGCATTTGATCAGAAGTTTTCAAAGGTAGGTTATGAGTACTACTACATTTAGTATACATAAGTCAATAAAAAATATTTATTTGTATTTCAGTCTGTAAACAACGATCTTAGGGAGTACAAAACATTCTGTTCCACATAGATGAAGTGTTAATTTTATGTAGAAATAATTATTTAGTCTTTAGTGCATTGCTAAATTGTCAGTAATTCTGTAGACTTTGGAAAAAGGGACTTGTGACTGTAATTCTTATCAATAAACATATGCTTTTCACACACTTCCATTTGAAACCAAAAAGTCAAGACATTTCCTATCAAAAAGTTTTGTTATTAATTGTTACATCACTAACATACATTCATAACCAGTTGAAAAAGTGACTATATTTTTTAAATTAGTAAACATATAATAATGTTGACCAGTGTTAGTTCATGAATTGTTGAATTATGTGTCTTATTCTAACTTATTTCTTTTTACATTCAATGACAAATAATCTTAATATAAGTATGAATATGTCATGTTACACACAGTGTTAGTAGTCACATTCTCCTGAAATGGCTAAGTGATTGTAATGTTTTTTTTTGTATATTTTGTAGATATAAGAATAGATCATAACTTTTTACATCATTACTCTTACCCAAACCCCTCATTTTTTAATGATAATTTTTGTATGAATATAAAAGCACACTTTCAGTTTCAAGTTTAATATTTCACTTTCGATTTATACCTACATTAAATTTCTTTGAAAATTTATATAACAGAACAATGTTTCCTGGGTCATCTGGCTACGTATATATAAGGGAAATCAATAACAATTGTGAGATTGCAATTATTTGTGCACATACATGTCTATACCAGTTGGATCCTTCAGCTGATATGTTCCTCAAAGTTGAGATAACTTTGAAGAACATAGAACCCGAGTGTGGTTACTCCAACAGCAACTGGTATATTTGACATTACATTTGACCCACTGAACTTTGTCTGCATCATTCAAAAGATCATTTATTTCTCTGAAAAGGAATAAACAACATTTTTCATTGATGCCTACGCTAACGTAATGCTAATAGCCTAAATTAATTTTTCAATTTAAACCTGTAGTTTTTGAGATTAGCACATTCAAACAAACTCTTCAGCTTTATAATATTAATATAAATAAACTTTCAATAGACCTAAGATTTTGAGCATTTCTGTAACAATCAATGATTAAATAAATAACAGTGGCACTCCAGGAGTGCGGATAGAAGTGAAAACTTGAAAATAAAATGAAAAATTCAATTTTTTCGATACAAAAATTTTCGACGTGAATATATATCTATGTTGTAAGTATATACCCGGGACTTCGTTCGCGTGGCATTTGAAAAGCGCTGCCATTTAGGTATAGGTATCGTGCAAAAAACTGTGTGAGCATGAAAAAAAATATATTTTGACATTACAAACAGACACTTCAATTTTGTTTATTTGTATAATTGTATTTCAAACTCAACTCTCGTGTAAACGGGGCCAATTTATGTAGATACTTATATACAGAGGTGTCGGTAACGGTAACATTGTCTTGAGTTCAATGGATTTTTCCAATCTCAAAAAATACATTCCTTTGTTTGTTTAAAATGAGCAATGCACCTAAAGAAGTTTTCACATCAAAAAAATTGCAGGTGCCAACTAAGGTGAAAGGCTTTAGCAATTTGTTTGCAATGGAAATTGACCCTAACGTGGGCCTCACAGAACTTCCAGAGGAGTATTTTGAGGGGGAAACCGAAGCTATGAAGCTAGGCAAAGGTGTAATGCAAGAAATAGTTGGAGCATTTCCTGGAATTGATGAAGCCATGAGTTATGCTGAGGTAATAAACTATATATAGAATTTTTAGTTTGGTCCTATTAAAAAAGTATATAGATAATTACTAATTTGTGATGATCAAACTAGTTATAGTTTTTTTTTTAAATAAAAATACATCGCCCATACGGCAGTCTGGTCCCAAACTAGGCAGAGCCTGTGCTATGTTAACCAGACTTCTAATAAACGCACATATATTTTTAAATACATACATATTATAGATAAATTACACCCAGACACAGAACAAAATATCACTCAATAATCGTCTTAGCAGTCAGTCACTTACCACTAGACCAACAGGCCCGTTTATGATGTAGAGGGGCAAATGAGCACCTGATTGTAAGTGACTGTTGCCTCCCATAGACACCTACAACTTCAGTCACAAGTGCATTGCTACCCTTTGAATCCCCCCATCCCCCCAGGTTCAAAGGGACGGGGGTTCAGGCTGTGGTAACTTAATACATTCAGCAAAAATCACAAAGCATTTAACCGGTCTTCTGTGTGGCTGTGGTAACACTCCAGTCGAGCCTACCCATTTGTGCTAAAGCATTTAGTTCTCCTCTCCTTAAAAAAAAGATTATTTTAACAATTTAAAACTACAAGTTTATTTAATGACAAACCAACCTGGTGCGAGAGTGAATCTCACTGACACCCACATATAAAAGTTTTCAAAAAAGAAATCCATCTCACTTTCTCACTTTTGTTGGAGAAAAAAAGGTGAGATGTAAGCTGTTCTGGCCTATTTAGGAGCTATGTTGATTTCTATGAATGTTTACACGTTTGAAATTAAAGCCACTTTCCTTTTTTAGGTGATGAAGTTGGTCAAAGGCATGAACTTCAGTGCAGTCGTATTTGACACTGCACCTACGGGTCATACTCTACGTCTGCTATCATTTCCACAAGTTGTAGAGAGGGGATTGGGCAAACTGATGCGTCTTAAGTCAAAGGTAATTTTGTCTTTAAAACCAACTTTTAACTGGTTTCTTGTTTAGAATTAGTTTTTAATCATGCTTTTACAGAATGGCTAAAGCTTTCATGAATTAACAGATACCACAGAGCAAAATGAATTTTTTATAGGATATTTGATAGAATTTTTAAACATTTTCAGGTTGCTCCATTCATTAACCAAGTAGCAACTCTATTTGGCTTAGCTGAGTTTAATTCTGACATGTTTAGTAATAAAATGGATGAAATGTTGTCAATTATAAGACAAGTGAACGCTCAATTCAAAGATCCCAACCAAACCACATTTGTATGTGTCTGCATAGCAGAGTTCCTGTCGTTGTATGAGACGGAACGTCTTGTTCAGGAGCTGACACGCTGTGGAATCGATACACACAACATTATCGTCAACCAGTTACTGTTACGCACTTCAGCGCCTTGCGACTTGTGTGCGGCGAGACACAAAGTCCAAGAGAAATATTTGGAACAAATTGCAGATTTGTATGAAGACTTCCATGTAACTAAACTGCCATTGCTCGATAAAGAAGTACGCGGCGCTTCTGCTGTGAACGCATTCTCTGAATACCTTCTCACGCCGTATGTGCCCGCTACGCCTTCTCCTACCACGTGAACATTTGTTTTCGTAAAATAGATGTATGTACGTATGTTAATCAGTGTTATTATAATTTGGTTGAAAATTATTGGTGAGTGAATTTGTTTCAGGCTTTGGTTTTCATTACTGACCTCTGTATATTATGTAAGTCTTTGACGGATTTATGTATCTTATTTTATGGTTTACTCTTGTAACAGTGAATATGGTAACCCTATTTTAGAATAATAATATATATTTAACGTCGAATGTAATTGTTTTTCTTTTAATAAAACCCAATGTGTGCTAAAAAGTTTATTTCATCATAATAATAGTAAAAAAAGTCAAATGTAGATATAAAACTAAAATGATAAATAGTCAATCGGCAATAAATATTATATACAATATTTATATGGCCTTTGAAAAAACCATTATGAGTACTGGTGTAACTAGAACAAATACTGATGTTTCTATGAATCTAGAATAGTATAACTATATAATATTGTAAAGAGAACAACAAATTTATATTATTATTCAATAACAACACATAACTATGGCAGTGTTTGTTTAATAAATCTAAATTATATTCATACTATTTCTACATCTATTAAAAATGCTTTGGGTGTCATCATATCCCCATAAAAGAACTATTAACATATTACAACCATTAAGCATGAACTGGAAACCCAAAAATTTAAGAGCAGGTGTTTGATCCCGCTTAGCGTGTCTTCTTCCTTTATTATATTTACAAAGCATACAAGGTCGTTGTTGTTTATTCTTATCTAAGTGAGATCAAAAACCCAAAGCTTCGGCCACGCTTACGTAAAAATATGCCAACAATTTCTATTTTTGTGTTGTAAATTAAAATTACTTAGGCATGGGTAGGGACATACATATATACAGCTAATCAAAGTATAATTTAAGTATGTAGTTGGAGTTGCACACGGTCACTTGCAAGTTGCTACCCATGGTACTAACGTGTTTTAACACTAATAAAATTTAAATTTATCGTATATTAACACAAGCGCAGATTCATACTACTCACAAATTAAATTATTCTTATTTTTTAATACTGCCACGAGTTTGTAAGGTTTATGTGAATTTAAGAAGTTTCTTGAAACATCAAAACAAGCAAATAAACAGAGACATCACCTGTAGGTACTTAACATAACAATACATTTTTCTAAATTTATAACATGAGACCGCATTATTAGGATCAAATTACAGCATTCCTATTTGATCAGCAGCCCTAATTTCTTACAAAATTGTCTGACGAAGTTAGGCCGAAGCTTAACTCGCAACATTCGGATGAAACATTCCATTAAAACAACATAATTATATCAATGTCTTTCACGTCCGCATGGATAAAATTTCAAGAATCAACTAACACAGAAGTTTTATAGTCGATAAATTTGTCCCAGTAGCAACAAAGAGGCCTCCGCACCTCTTTAATTTATATTTGAACAATATATCAGTGCATAACTTTGTTCATTAGTATTTGCCGGTAATCTGTTGCGGCAAATCACAAATATAAATGTTAATATAACTATTATATCTAGGCGACGCGAATTGCAAGATGCAGTAGCTATAACAAGCTGCACTGGCCATATTTACAGACTAACTAGTTGCAGTATTGCAATCATTTAAACATTTGTTATTATTACACAATTTAAAAAAATATTACCAGCATATATTCATTGTACTTTTTTACTCGAGTTAGTATCGAATATGTTCAATGTCTGCTGCTGTTGGGCTGGCAGATATGATGTTTTAATGTAAAATTGTACTGCAAACTGTGGGAATGCCGTCTTCACAATGTGTTAGAAGCTTTTGTGATAGCAAATATTTTTATCTTTAATTGAAGATTGAAAGCAAACAGTAATTAATAGTAACAGTATTAATAACGGAGGCCCCTTAAATATCAAATCTACCTAGTAGATCAGTCTCGTTTGTGTCAACTGGAACGGTGTTGCGTAGGCAAATGCCATGCGGTGAGTGTAGCTCCGAGGACCGAGCCTACTAGTGCCGCTGCGCAGGCGCCGCTCTCGAACAACAACTTGGGCGTGAACACGCCCCAGATCATTAGGTGCCGACAATGGATCGTCGCTGCGATTGCACACGCAAATACCTTCAAATTCAACATACTACATTATATCTGTGGCGCAATGCTGTAGAAAGGCAATAGGTTTTGTTTTGAGTTCTAGGACTAAGTATAATCTCATAGTGAGAGAATCTTATCGATAAGATATCGATCAATTATCCACATTCTACTTTATGATACGAGCTAACTATAGCACAGTACATAATATAACTACTAGTGTTCATTTTTCACTTATTCTTAATTATCGAATTAAAATATTATCCATTATATATCGTGTGTTGTACGTACCCTGATAGCAAAGCACAAAGCGAACTTGAGACACAGCGAGAAGACAGCTGCCAGCTGTGTTCGAGGACCTAAGGTCGCCGCTCCAGAACGACCCCACAGAGCCAATAGGGGTACTGCCGCACCGAACATTAATGGCATGCCTACAAATTACGAGATATTGAAAAAACTTGCCTATAAAAATGAAAATGTCAAGTTACATATATGATTTATTAATTAGCCCACGAAACTACAGCTATGTTAGAATAAATTGATTTTATAATATGTATATTACATAGGATAATTCTGTGAAGTTTAAATTAGCAGGCCGCGTTATCAAGCAGTCAAGTAAATGTTAAAAAGAAGCAGTAGGATTTTAAATCAATATTCTTACCAAACAGTTCGAGTGAAACCAAAGAGGCTGTTATTACTGGTCCTATATCTAAGTAATTAGGATCCCCGGCATGGAAAGCGGGCGCCCACCGAACATGGCCCAAAGTCGCGTGGTGGCCCGTGCCGTAGAAGTTGTATGACGCCAGTAAAGCCCACATACATGCCACACTTGAGTTGCAACGAGTTGACAGCGCTGAGAAGTTACAAAAAAAATGTAATTACAACGTCATCTTCAATTTATTACTAATTTTCAATTTAACGTAAACATTTTTGGATTGTTAAGTGGTATATCTACCAATTACTTGCCAAAACTATCAAAATTTGTAAAAAACAGACTGTATTTGTTAGTAAGTAGTAACAATTTTTCAACTTTGGCCCGTTTGTAAAAAAAATGTACGATATTATACGACTAAATAGATTTTTAAATTCTAATACGATCCAAAAACACTTCCTGGGTTATTTTATAGTTCAAGGAAATCAATACTTACAGAATTTTGTAGATACATCATTCTTCAGCATCGAAACTACATTAAGAGCTAAGAAACCCGTCACTAGAGCTATAGCTGCTGACGGTGCATACGCCGCACCAAGAACTAAAGTGTTTGCAATATAAAACAATAAGCTACAGACTATTAAAGGCAATGTTGCACCACGACCATCTCGCCTCCAGAGTAAGGCAAACATCGTACCGAGAACTAACCAAGAACCTCGTGCCAGCAGCCTAGAACGGTTCGGGGACCCTAGTGAACCCCAACCGACAGCCCAGTGAGCGCAAGCGAATAATCCAGCTAAAACTATCCCGTAACCCTGCCATCCAACATGCCGTCTTGCAACAGCGACCACCGCAGCAACAGATCCCAAAGCTAACACTAATGCTGCTCTTGAAGCTTGTCCTGTAGAAACACCTGAACCGTTTGTCCAGCAATCACCTTGCTCTTCTCGGCATCCTCGATACAAGCGAGACATAGCCAAACTGATTCCACACAAAGTCCAAACCGCTAAAGCTTTGGCGTTACCTACATTCCATGTCATTAGAGCCAATACGCTCAAACACAAAAACGAGAGTCCAGCTCCCTCTTCAATAATATAACTATTCGAAACTAGAACCGATGCGGAAGCAACAAGTGCAGCGCGGGCAAATCGCTCGTAAAACTGCGAGCGGCCTTCACACCACCTTTGTGTAATGCCATCCCAGTGTATCGCCACTAAAACGCAAGTTAATGCTCCTGTAATTAAACCTGTGCCTAAAGTGATCGCGTGTTCCAGATCTTCTAGAAATTCAAAGTGGTATGCTGTGTAGCACACAGAGATACACAATGCATTTGCAATCAAAATACTAGAAACGAATGAACTCGCAAACACATTCCGCAGTCTATTCATTGGAATCCCTTCAGTTACAAGCCAATTGAAAAATATGGCTAAAAGAAGTAGTAGCAACGCTCTGAGCATGAAAAGCGAGTCGAATTCGACCCAGACCTCACGGAAAACATTGCGAATGTTGTCCACTAGAGCCCTGAAACAAAACAAAGTAAGTTGTTTAGAACTTGGTTAATTATATACTTTAATATCTATTTTATCGCAAAAAACCTATATTTTAAAGAAAAAGCAATATTTACATGACGTATTTTGTATTAAAAAAAAACAATTTAAATTTCCCTTGAAAACGCTGAATAGTGTCATGACGTCTTGAATGACGTCACAGTCTGCGAAACAAAACTGTTTACATCTTTGTCCAGTGTCAACTTAAACTGTATTAAGGTGAGAAAATATGCTAAAAACAATAAGGAGTAACCTGCTCTGTTGTATGAAAATGTCAACAACAACAATGATGTTTTGCGTGCGCAACTACAACCATCACTCTTCAAGTTCGATAGATGTATTTCTCTAAAAAGGAGTATAATTTCTTTTAAGGACTAGAAAGGAATTTTCCCCGATAGTTATTTAATTTTATTTTAATAAAAAATTAGTACATATTTCTAATTACCATATTATTAATGGCAACCTAAGCAAACCATATTCCCTGTTAATAAATATACATATAAATTCAATTTGATTACTTAGTCTATGAATGTATGCGAGCTTAACGCTTAATGTTGATTACTGGTCTACACACAAGGCAAATATCACCGTTACATCAAACATGCTTTAATATATGAATGATTCATTTTACTTCATGTTGCCCTAGCACCAGTACTAAAAAGTTCATAAATCAGTTAAAATCGTTCATACATTTATCGATATTGATAAATTTTAGGTTCGATAACTATCGATTGCTTTGACTAACACACTACTGCACTACACACTTGTCCTGCCTAGTTTGCTTCCTTGGACGGCTCTTACGAAACCCACGGGATGAATAGGGTGGTGACACTCTGTATTTTTAATCGATCACCACACGGATCTGTGATCATAAATTAGTCAATCAGGGTAAGTAATTTTATATGTAAAGATAATCACCTAACATCTGCAATATATTGTTTAAGATCGTCTTCAGTCTCAATAGGACCCGTTTTATCTAACTTTTCCCTTGTAGTGTTGATAAGTTGCGCTAGTCTGTCGAGTGATATTTGCTGAGACTCTTCGCCATAGCGGATAAGGTATTGAGTTATCTGTAAAAAGAAACGTAGCGCTTCTAAAAAATGTAATTATGTAGGTTATAATGTTAGTCATACTAACATTTTAACCTACATAATTACATTTTTTTTTATGTTGAATTGAAACAAAGATAAGATTACAAACTTATCAAATAAAAATGTGAGATGGCGTAACAATAAGATAAAACATACATTTTATGTAAAGACTACCTCTAATTTTAGCTTCTACTGGCAATACTTGGCACTAAATATAGGGATGCCAGCGTCCGGACGGGGTTTAAATTGTAGTCCGGGTTGTACCCAGACTACAATTGCGAAATAATAGCTATGGGTTAGGTATTTCACCACAGCTGCCCTTGTTAAATAAGTTTTCATTTAATTTTATTAACTGAGTAACTAATATTGGGTTTGTTTATCTTTTATTTAATACAAGAACGATTAAACACACTATTTCATGGAACAAAAGAGGCTTAAAATTAAAGTTTTCGGTACTTAATAAAGTACGGAGTAAAATAATCAAGATGTAGGTGAATGAAAAAAGTATTAAAATGTCCAGGGTGAAAGCTCCAAAATCCGGGGAAATTACGCTTTCGGTCCTGGAGGGCAGGTTTTAGAGACGGCGGCCCTAACTAAATATAAAATAAAGTATTGTGTAATGGTACAAACAATTACTACACGGGATATCCCATTAGCAAAGAATACCATGCTATAGTTAGGTACAAAAATTTTAATAAGAAAATACCCCTTATTTGGTAAACATTTTGATTAACAGTCATAATCTTAAGGCTCTAAGTGTATTACTGCTTCGTCTTTTGCGGTAGGTTGTTACCACAATAAAGAATTGTCGCATGATTGACGAGTTTCTGTTTTTCTTAAGTCAGTCTAAAAATAATAGTTAAGTAAAACACTACAGTTACTCACCTGCTTTAAATTGTTACTAAGCTGTAACAAAGTATTTTCAGTACTAGATTTGGGTAATACAGGCAAAAGGAGATTGCCTAGAGAAGGCGCTGGAGGCGGTCTGCCCAACGCAGCGCTAAGAGTTGGCGCCAAATCTGTTTGCTGAACTTCTCTACCCGTCTTAATGTCTAGTCCACTGCCAGCAAGTTCCGAACCTCGGTATGCAAAGAATGCCGCAGTACGCTCAGCCTTACTCTCACCACCATGATCGCCTAAAGAATTAATAATTTTGTTACATTCGTAATAAACACAAAGTTTCTACAAGTAACATGCACAACTCATGGTTTACACATTTCATAAAATAAAAAATTAAGATGCATTATTTTAACTTTAGTGAGTACCATCCAAAGGTTGTAATTATTTTCTGAGAGGTTTGTTAAAGCATAGGTAAGGAAGAATATATAGAATAGCACATGGCTGCTTCAATTTGTATTTGTTAGACAAACTCAGAGACAAACCAATGAGGGCCTGGCTATAAGACACTGAGCATGTCAGACTTAGTCCTGGTGAATGTCTCAACTAAACATCCATCAACAGGCGTAAATGAGAGTCAGAATGTTGCATTGTCAGAATTTGTGAACATTGTCCAAAAACTAAATAATTAAAATCAATTCTAAAATTCCTAGGCACAAATACTACAAACAATATGCTTTAGAATCACACACATAATAGCAAAAAGTTCAGCTCAAAGAAAAATGCAAAATTACACAAATTTAAATGGCTACAATAGAAACAAAACTATTAAATACCTACCCTCAGTGTGGTTCCCTTCATGTGAGTCTAAAACAATTTCAAAGGTTTCAGTCTTCACTAAAATTAGGAGTATTTTACTAAACATATTATAATTCTCTAAATTTAATAACTTATCACAGTATCACTTATAAAAATGTTCAGAGACAGTGCTGTAAGACACCATTTTTTTAAAGCGAGTAAAAAATTGGTGTATATTTTTATTCTTTGATTTGGAATTTAGCACTTAAATTCTTGAAAAGGATATCTTCTCTATACTTCACTTATTCTTATAATATGAAATTACATTTTAAACCATGAGTGAGAAATTCAACCTTGTCAAACTAATTCATTATAATTAGTTTTTAACTTACTGTTACACTAAAATAGTAAAGAAGAATATACATTTGAGTCCACACATTACATGTTTAAGAGTGCTATTCTAAATGTTCTTTCTCTCAGTTTTACCTTTTTGCAACAAATAGCTATTAAGTGGATCTATATTTTCAGGGTAAAATAGAAGATATGCAATTAAAAAATTACCTCAATTGAATTGAAATGATATGTATTTAAGATTCACAAAATGGTTTTAGATATACAATAAACTGTTCGAATATGTACCTGTTTCAGTCATACCATGGTCCCCGACTACATACAGGAGTACATCAGGTGGCAATGCCTCAATAATTTTTCGTAGTCTATTGTTTGTTTCATCAAGTTTTCGTGTCATCTCGGGGTGGTTGGGACCGTACCTGTGACCAGCATGATCCACACCCAAGTAGTGAGCAACCAGCAAATCCCAGTCATTTCTTTTCAGTTCATCATATATTTTTAAATCCACTTCTGCAAAAATGTTTTTTTTATTACTCTTACTTAAAGCCATACATTACATTGTTTTTAAATGAACAATCTTTCTTAAAGTATGAGTATTTTATTTTAGATCAAGGTATAGAGCTCTTCATTTTACAATTACTATTGTAAAAAATTAGAACTATTAAAATAATATTTACCTGTATCAACAGTATCAAGGTCCCAAGTGTGAAAAGAGTACATTGCATGTGATCTGAGCCATTTACCAGGCATTAAACGTGCCCACGTATCATCACCCAGAAGTACCGCCTTGCCACCTGCCTTTGTAACCTAGAAATAAACTCATGAATGTCAATGTCTACCCTAACGGTAGACATTGTTAATATCTCTGGGTGCAAAACTTATGTACTTTAATCCTAGGCTACTTCACAAGATCCTTCATTAGCTTGTCAAAACATTAACAACTAAAATTAACAAAGTAAGAAAAATAATAAGAAGGTATCTCTAACCTTCTCCTATTGTTAGCAATAGCTAAAAGAACACACTTGAAAACAGCACAATTAAAATAAACTACTCAGTTTACAGGAGTCCTTAAAATATATAAATAAATTTACACACTAGTTCTAACATCAACAACAATACTCCTAAAGATCCCAAACTAAGCAGAGCCTGTACTATGGTAACCATGATGCCTATAAACATACTTCTAAATACTAAATATGTACATATATTTTTTGAAAAGTTATACCCAGACAAAGAAGAAATGATCGATACAATTATTTGCACTGGGTGGAAATCAAAACTATAACTTCTGGCACACTAGTCAGGACTGCTAACTAAGAAGATCAGGTCAAAAATGTCAATCGTACTCATCAAAACTAGTACTGAGAGTACACATATAAGATTGAATGTAAGACAATTATGAAAAGGTGGATAGCAAGTTTCAATTTCTAAAAAATATACATACAGTGGAACATAAAACCTCCTTTTATGAAGTCGGTTAAAAAGTATAACTAAGCCTTAAAACTGCAATGTCAGCTTGATTTACACATACTTGATCAATGATACTGTCTTCCTGCAGTTCCATAGCAGCAAAGTTTGAGCTAGCATCGATAAAAGTTGGTAAAGAGCCAGTAGCAAGAGCTTTTACTCGCTGTAATGTAGTTGTCGGCGGATCTGCCATAAACCGAAACAATCGCGTTCGATCCGGATATCGATTTAGCATTTCGTGCATAACAGGCAAGCGATTTTGGTAAGGCAGTGGCTTTTCTATGCCCTCATCATACTCAGTGAAGTCATACCTCAGCGCATCTACCAATAAAAATACAACCCTAGACCGCTCAGTGCTACATGCTAGTGGACCACCAGACACAGACAGAATACGGCGAATTTTATCATTTTCACTACAAATATCGTTCACAGTTGAATTCCCTTTTTCACGCCCGTCACACCCAAAATGTTCGAGAGGTATGCATTCAGTCACATCACTTAACGTTTTACGGGATAAAAGAAACCCATGGCCGAACATGCGAACCGCTGATAATACTAAGTAGGAAAACCAAATTAAATAAATAATGAAATTCCATTTTTCTTTCATGTTGACTGCCGCATATGAAAAGTAATTATAAGAATCTTTAAACTAATTGGAAAAAAATAATAAAATTACTGCACGACCCATTGCATTAACAAATTTCAACACTGTTCTACTTCAACTTCAAAATCTTCAAATTAATTGACATTGACAACTTAACATTTTCTTGACAATGACAGCTATGATCAACAGTTACGATCGTACGTTTCGTTTTCTGCATATAATATAGGTGTAGTTCATTTTTGGTCTCGCATAGCAATAATAATTTATGAAATAAATACGTATTATCTAATCAGTCTCGAACCATGAATATAAAAAAAAACCTACCGACTATTACTTTTTTCAAAATTTAGACAACTTATTAGTGGGTAAAAAATTCAATGCCCGAGAGGCAGTACAAAATGCCTTTGAAGAGTTTGTTGCCTCCCGTCCAGCTGATTTTTATAAGAAGGGCATCAATAAACTGCTAATGCGTTGGCAAAGATGCGTCGATTGCATGGGTGATTACTTCGAATAACAGAAATAAAAAAGTTTGAAAAAATAAGTACTTTCACTTATTGCATACAAAACGGCAATTTCATAGGTAAAGACCTAATATATAATGTACAAAAAAGAATTATAAGAAAATCGGGACTTAATTAGCGACTTTGTGGCAACCTCGGAACACTAACATCAAAATCGCCACATTGCGGAGTGAGATAGAATATGTGGCATTGCCAATCTCTCCACTCCAAATAGGAAATGGTTCTCCGTTTCGCCACCATCTAAACTTTTAGTTGGATTGTAAAATCGCCTTACTTAATAGTAGCCTATTTTTTTCAATTTTCAGTAATTCTATGTATTTATAAAATTACAAATTATTCTTCTTTTTTTATTTTTTTAAGTTGGCACCGACATAGGTGCCGTTCTAGGAACAAATGAGTATGTAAAACAGAAAATAAATTTGAATACTCAGAATATTATGAATATTTAAATTAATTAAAATAGATAAATACACATAGATAAATATTTTTTAAGTAAACTTAAGAGAACGTTATTAACCACACCGTGTATTGTCAACGACCACACTGGACCACACCACTTGCATTGGGATGTTGTTTACAATTATTTTGATAACCACACGACTGCCGACTACATGATGTATAACGTGTAAGTAACTTATGTTTTAATTGTTAATGATAATGCTGAAGTTGGCCTAGTTTACACGGAATTTGTAAAACATAATAATTTAAAAAAGCCTTTTTTAAATATGTTTTAAGCAGTTCGTGTTCTAAGTTCACCCGTCCAAAACTATTTTACTAATTATAACTACAATTGGTTCTACGCGTACTATGTTCTCCTCTACAATAATTCGTAACCATTAGTTACCAATTTTGATAGCCTCAAGTAAAGTGAAAGTGACAGACTTTGACAGACCAAGATATAACAGAAGATTTTGCAAAACAGATATATCGAAAGAAATCATTGTCGTAATCGTAACCGATTTAAACCACCCATTCAAGCTTGCTACCTTTCTATTGATTTCGTTTTTCTGTCCAACTTGGGGCCCTCAAATTCTTGTGTGCCCGGGGGCCCCGGCATAGCCTAAGGCGGCCTTGCTTATGTACTAGCTTTTGCCCGTGGCTCCTCCCGCGTCCGCTTGAAAAGTCGCCTATATTACGCACTGATAATGTAGCTTTACATTCGTGAAAGAATTTTAATTGGTTTAGTGGACTAACCAGCCCGCATGTGCAGAAGAACGGCCCTCCGCGTGAATGAGATAATCGATATAAAGTTGTTTATTTTCTATGGTGAATGCAGCTCTACATCTTTTACTAGGTCATGCTGCGTCTATAAGGTGTACTTATCTAGTATTGTATACGCAAAGTTAATTTGAATATTCATGCAGTACCGTGCAAAAAATGTTAATAAAAAAAGTAAAATTCATGAAGTTGAGTGGCAGAATAAGTGAACTTTAAAACCGCTCTTCGTGCTCATTTTACACCAAGGAAAAGAATTTTGACAAGTCCCTCTCTTTACAATAATACAATAAGACAAAATAGATTGAGAGAGGGCTGTACAAACCCTAATCTGCATGATGTTTAGACGTTTCCCGATTCATATCACTCTACTAAACATTTTACAATGACGTGATTTAGAGCTCTCTAATACTTTAAATGTGGCCGGAGCCTGACACATGTTCCATTTGCGTTATGAGAGTGGGAGTAGATACTGAGGAAGAAGTCTTAGAAAGATCGAAAAAGATGCTGTGACATTTCAAATTAGAATCTAGTTTTTAAGCAACCCTTTCACTAAAATTAATAACAGCATCATAAATTGAAAAGCCATATCTAAAACCAAACTTGTTTACTGTATTTTTTTTTATCTAATGTTTTAAGCAATTATTTAATAAGTATTCTGGACGAATACATGTTGAACTTGCTGAACTAGCTGTAATAACCTGCCACTTCGCTGTGGCACATTTTGGTTGCAATAATAGACTAAAACCATCTCTAAAGCGTGTTGTATACCGTATCAAAATTTGACTTCAATCGGTGCAGAACTTTTTTAGTTTTTAAAGCGTACACAAACCAACTTTAACATTTTGAAATATAGATTGCACACATGCGTAATGTGTAAGGTTAAAGCAGTATCATCATCAAAAGACGTCCACTTCTAGGCATCCCCCGAAAGTTCGCCACAACAACCAGTTCTGTGCTGCCCGCAGTATATAAGAACTTAATTACATTATAGGCCGTTTACACGCATGGCGAGCCTCGACAAGTGTCCACAAACACAAGCGTGTAAACAGTCGTCGTACGGTACTCGCGGAAGCTCGCGTCAAGCGTTTGCAACGTATTTTTACTTTACACAATTGATATTACAAGTATTGTATTAATGATATTACAAGTATTGTAGTTTAGCAGTCGGGAGTCAACATTAAGTCTCCATGCTCTACTGATTAAGCAGTTTAATTGAGCGGTAGTGCTAGAGAATTTATTTATATATTTTAGTGCCGCCGTTTATATTTTGAATAAAAATATGTCCACGTTTGCTATGTTTGCCTGTCCAGAACACAATAGCACACTCGCAAGCGTGTAAATGGCATCCAAGCGTTTGTAAAGACTTGGAGCTTGTGGACGTTTGCCAAGCTTCGGCACGCATGTAAACTAGGCATTAGAGGGAAAAATCCATTTTCATATTATATGATGAAAGCCAGAATGTTGTGGCAATTCAAATTTGTTGGAACTGGAGTCGGAGTTTTAAAATCAATCGCAAGTTCAGACTATTTGTAGTGCATGGACATCGTTCTTAAAAAAGTATGATACAGGTATGCTACGTTATTGTTACGAAGTGGTCCAGCCATGTACCGATATTATTTGAAACCTGCATTAAAAGCTTAAACCAAAAAGGTTTAATGCCATGTGAGGTAAGTAACCTCTAAGCTCGAAAATTTCAGGGTTCAAAGAGGAAAAAGTTGACATTTGGGCATTTGCCATTAGAAAGTTATTTTTTTAATAGGGAATTACTGTTTTGTTATACTGGGTGACATCTAAAGGAGAATTTTCTCTGTTCATTATTTTACAAATTACACTGTATTATAATATTCCCATGTATAAAATAATTTCAGATGTTAGAATTATTCCTTTACTGCGAACAACCTTTAGTGGTTGTGTTTCTACGAGATCATTTGCAAAAGAGACGTCAAGTCGAAAAGTATTTCAAATATACCGATATGATGGAATCCTTGAAAATAAAGCACCAACGATGCAAAGTTATGAAATCGATACCAGTACCTGCGGACGCATGATACTCGACATATTAATAAAGATCAAGGAAATTGACCCAACGCTCACTTTCCGAAGATCGTGCCGTGAAGGCATTTGCGGATCATGTGCTGTCTGTGTACAGGGACATAACTGTCTCGCTTGCACCACTTTTGTGCCAAATGATAAGAAGGTAATCATCCGTCCCATTCCACATATGTATGTTCAAAGAGACTTATGTGTGGATATGACTCATTTCTTTGAACAATACAATAGCATTCGACCTTACCTCGTGAGGAAGTCTGGAGATTTAGACGGCAAGTTTCAGCTAGCGCAGAGTATTGCGGATAACGATAAAACTGTAGGCTTATACGAATGTATCCTATGTGCATGTTGTGCAACATCTTGCCCGAGCTACTGGTGGAACGGACGCCGTTTCCTGGGCCCAGCTACTTTGCTACACGCTTATAGATGGGTCATCGATTCAAGAGATGAAGACGAACACCGGAGGCTCTACGATCTGCGCGATGACTTTAAAGCTTTTCGTTGCCACACTATCATGAATTGTGCATTGGCGTGTCCAAAAAGTCTTAATCCAGGATTAGCTATCGCAAAGTTAAAAAGACTGATATCTGGGGTGGACAAAAAACCTAGTCCTGAAATGGACCCTATGAAATTTGCATCTGGAGGAGGAAGCTTGGAAGCCTGTATTAGAAAAAAGAAATAAATGAATCTTCGCCCTTTATAAATTTTAGAGTTTTAATATATTGGTGTAGTATAATGTTTTACTATATAAATCGTTTGTGTTCTTTTTATTGTTAAATTAGTCAATGTAATATATTTTTTTTAATTTAAATAATATTGTTTGTTTCTCTCTTTCTTGTGTCATGGCAAATAGGGAAATGGAAATTCTAAAACATCTGAACAGGCCTGATGATTCAGACGTATGTTGTTTTTGGTGACCGATGGAAAATCTCTGGACCTCCGGCTCCTCGGGGACACAGGAGCCAGGAGTATGTGTTGTTTCCCTTAAAAATCACTCCGACGGCAAGTATCAAGCGCCCTACTATGGGGAGTACTCGGACCATGTGATTTCAGGTCCCTCCTGGATCAATGTTCTTCTAATCTACTGCCAGAGGTACCCGCAGTATAAGAATTTGACGCTCAATGCATGGGAACAAATAAGTATGTGGTATTTTAAATAAAGATTCTAAAAAATTTGACGAGACAATAAAAAGAATATGGTAAGTATGATATAAGTTCATTTTTAAACGTTAGTGCTGATTGACTCTGGTTACCTATAACAAATTATAATATTCTTAACTAGAAACTATAACTACCTACAATAATGAATTTCGTTAAATTTTTGACAATTGCCAACTTATAGCTCCATTGTCACTCATAAAATATTGTTGAAAAACATCTCTAATATTATTGGCTTGTCTTCCACTACGTATTGATTGAGCTATTTGTAAATACTCAAGATTATGTATAAAATCTTCTTTGATATTATGGCCGTCTCGTTTTCGTACAAAATTGTGAAGTATGCAACATGCCTTCACAATATCAATTGTGATTAATTGATTGTGATCAATTGATAAAGTTATTGATACATCTAAAGCACGATTTAATATTCGCCATTTGTTTGTTAAGATACCAAATGCACATTCTACGTATCTCCGGGCTGTAGACAGGCGATAATTAAATACTCTTTTTTGTACACTCAAAACCTGACCACCATAAGGTCTTATTATATTTCTATGCAACCCAAATGCGTCATCGGCTACGAATATATGTGGCACAGGTGGCAAAGTACATCCGGGTAGTATTTTTTCATTGGGTAGTTTGATAGAATCGCTATTAATCGCATTCCAAAAAGTTGTATTTTAAAAAATAGTTGAATCAGCATTACTTCCCGGGGCTCCAATTTCTACAAAAACAAAGCAGTAATCCGCATCAACTACAGCCATTAACATAAATGAAAAAACCTTATAATTGTAGTAAGTTAAAGTACTGTTTTCTGGTTTAATTATTCTTATGTGTTTCCCGTCTATTGCTCCGATGCAGTGAGGAAAGTTTGCATATTTGCAAAATATTTGGCTGATTTTTTTAAAACTTCTGTAGTGACTACCGGAAAACATTCAAGCAATAACTCCTCAAATAATTTTTCACTTGTTATTTTTAAAATTGTCTGTATAGTTGTGCGCCCAATTCTAAATCACTTGCTAGGTATCTGAAATAAAAAATAACAATAATTATATGTTTTTCAGGAAACACGGTAATTATAAATGGTAAAATTTTAAAGATTGCTAGATGAAAAATAACAAAAAAGTTGAAACAGAATCAAAATCTGGATCAGAAGCTAAAAAAAAAACAAAAAGTACATTTATAATGATGAGTTACAGTTTTTGAAAAAAATATGCCTATTGAAAATACCTCCTCAACCTTAACAAACAGTGCTACAATTCAACAAACTACTAATACTATATACTCCTGTTGCATCAACGTCACATGATTTTGCTCCACCTACATCTATCTCTTCTCAACCTGCTAAAAAGAAAAAAAAAGGACGACGCCGACAAAGCATTTGTAGAGTTGTTGTCTCAACGCGAAGATAGACATTTTAAACTGATAAAGGAAATTAAAACAATTCAATAAGCTTATAATATTTTTTTTGTTATTCCTGGGGTTTCACTGACTTAGATGATAGTTTCATAAAACGTAGATATTTACTAGAATTAGTTTCCCATGAATGACATTTTAAGACGCTCAAATTATACTCTACATAACTCATAATGGAAAATATATAATCATAATATGTAATCACTAATCATGTTTTTAGCTTCCATATGGTTTAATACAATTCAGACTTGTTTGATATTTTACTACACTTCTGTATGAGTATGATATTTTACTACACTTCTGTCTGTATTTGGTATTAATTAAACATAGGGCAAAACCACAGTGAACTGTGATTAATCATTCCATTTTTGCGTACGCAGGTTAGGGTTGCTAGATAGGTTGATTAGACGCCACTTAACAGTAAATATAGAGTTTTTTAATGATTATGTAGGGAATGGTTATATATAATAAATGGCTATATAATAATAAATGAATATAATTATGAATAAATATATAAAAATTCTATATATAAAAAATGGCTATGTATAATAAAATTACTAGACTGTTAAATAGGCAAAATAGTCTTTTATGCATCGTCTGAAAACAGCTTATTGGCAACAACACGTGACTAAGTAGTAACCATAACCTACGAACAAAAAAATCGAATGAAAAATTAATAATATATTATCTATGTACAGGTGCATCATGTTGCAAAAAATAAAGAGATAATAGAATCATAGAGTAAACAAGAGCCCCAATCTTGCAATAAAGGCAACGAGGGAGATAGATGCTTGGTGTTCCCTCCATTTCTATCTAGTAAAACTCTGTGGTTGGCTTGGGAATATGTGGGGTTAATAAGGAATACTGAGTCGTTTTTTTTTATTTTGCCAAACTGTAAACTTTTTTTAATGAAAAGCTGAAAGTAATCAATGAAAAATGAAGCATTGTTTTCAATGCAAAGAGGTTTACTCAATTTACAGGAATCAAAACATACAAATGATCAAAAGGAACGAGTCCACATGCGAAACAGTAAAATGACCATTATTAATGGACAGTACTATAATGAAATATGATAGTTGTATGTGTAAAATAAGTTGGTTAGACTTAAATTGTTAAATTTTGAATACAGTGTCTCATTTATTTCTTTGTTGACGAGAGCGTTACGAAAAGTGTGATCGGGCGAGGCAAACGGTAGTTGCGAGGGGGATATAAGGTAGTGAAGATGGATAGGGAGACAGAGTTACGTTTCTTATATTACTGTAGGAGTGTAGGGGAAAGAGAGAGAGAGAGGTCCGAGCACACATTTTCTTTCTCTCATAGCCAAGAAGTTTTACTCAAGTCGTATGGTCTAAAACACACAACTTCTTTTTTTTAATACTTTTTTTAAATGATTTAAAGGGTAAAATGTTTATTTATAGATTTATTATAAATATTTTATAATTTATAATACAGTTAAGCTTAAAGTGCCAATTTTAAATTGTTTTTTCATGCACAAATTGCCTCATATTGTATACATAATGCCTATCAGTTGCTGTCGTTCAGAATTCATGTTAACAATAACTTTGCTACTAGTGCATTTAAACGTTTACACGGCTTTTAAATGTTTATCTCAATTTTTTGAGGTGTGTGTTTTGCAAACTTCTGTTTGAATTATTTACACCCAATTTGTTTGCGAAATTTCTAATCTCCCGTCTGTTCTACGATGAGAACCATGGCCACTTCACTAAAGCCAATCGCAGCTTAGCTAAAGAGGGACAGAGGGAACTATCGGGTGTCCATTTCTCTTGTTGCCTGTACCACTTCCACTCAGGCAGCTGTCTGTACCCCGTGTTCACTCTATGCTTTTATCCTGTCAATGACAGCCTGTCATGTTGACGTTCAACGTTTTGACATTTTTTAATATCTCAAGCAAGTCATATTTGTTACCAATAAATACGTAAACCGTAGTCAGCAAAAATATTTCAGCAATTAGTGAACATATCCTCCAATAATACGAACTCGCAATTTTTTAAGGCACAAGGAGTTATTTTTTTAATCTGTGTTGTCGAGGCAGGTATAATAATATGTACGTTCTTAAATCCAAGTTCTAGATACCTTCATCTTTTTATTTTTTTAAGTTATTAGATATAATTCCGGACATCTATCTGATGCTTGCCGCGTGTAGAATAGGTAGTTAATAGCATGAGTTCGAGCCAAACATGTCGGCACCGTCAAAAGTCAACAAAGAAAACTTTCGCCTGTTGGATTTGTCTAGCGAAGAAGAGTCAGAGGATTTGCAATTGGAAATAATTCCTAGCAGAAAGAAAAAGATAACAAGGTATGTATTTATGTTGACGTTCAGAGAAAACCTTTTTATGTATAGCTAGTGTTTATAATATTTTCTTTAGAGGTTTATAATATTTATTTCATAAAATCGTAATAAAAATTTATCATTGTCAATTTTAGACGTGTTCGTAAATAATGAAACCACTCATTACATGTCGGCTTATTTACAGCTTTATTATTCCAAGAAATGTTTATAACCATATCTTCATTTTAGATAAAATTTCAACTCCAGAGAGGTCACAACTTTTGATAACCCTATGCTGTCATAATAACACAAGTATCACATTATAATTCCAGTTGAACAAATAAAGTCATTTTGTCACTTGTCACTTTCCAAATACAAAAAGAAACTAACAAAGGTCTAGAATTAGTCTTTTAAATTATGGAGGCTGAGTTTATTACATATAATCCTTATTACAGACGTGAACGTATTCGAGGACCTACAGTGCCAGCTCAAGAACCTAACATTGGAGCTGAGGTGCAATGTGCTCTCCGCTGGGCTGTCAGGGGCACACTTTTATTATGGCTTCTAATGCTAACATGGATATGTGCTGCTCTTTATGACCAAGTGTCTATTATGCGCACAGATATGAATCAAGGTGAGTTATTATTATTATTATGTTATTATGGATAAGCAGCAAACTTGCAGATGTGTTCACATCACTGCACTGGAGTAATTTTGTGGTGAAAAAGTTCATGTGTTGATTAAACAGTTGTTCAGGCCAGTGGGTTGTGACTCTTAAAACTGTTCACAGTTTCTGGAAGCTTGTTTCTTATAGTTACTACACAATTGTTCACAATGTGATAGGCTACCAGCAAGTCCAAGTGTGAGTTATTTTTAGTTTTTAATATATATTTTTGATATTGCTAATTAAATAGAATTTGTTATTAATCATTGCGATTGATAATATTGTAATTTTAAATGAAACAGAAAATGAATATTTAATAGTGATGTTTAGTCTTACACTATAATAATATAATGACTACAAGTGAGCTATGGAAACTTTATGCTGACACAAATATAATATTTAAGACATAAACTATAATATATATAACTAATAAATATATAACTTTAGCAATTAAAAAGAATTCTCACTGAAATAATATGTACTGTTCAAGCTGTTTACTTTCCGTATTGCAAAACTTGAATGCTTTCACAACTGATCCCAATTATCACTAGCATTTCTGACTCTTCCAGCTGACTTGTATTATATTTCGGAGTTGTTGGGTTGTACTGAGAAATATTTGATTTAAAAAGCTTGTTTTGAGAATCAATACACACATTTCATTATTTGGAACTTTTCATAGACAGGAAAAGTCATAGGTATGCAATATCAAAAGCATTTATTGATTATATTTAATGATATGAAGTTTATAGCGGATATAATTTATGATAAAAGACTCGGAAGAGTATCCATGAGTAACATTGAACATGTAAAATATTGAAAATCTATAAATCGATTTTTTTTATATTTGCGATCTATCTATCGAAAGAAATATCGATGTTTGTCCATAAACCATTCACATATCCCAGAAATCATCGGTTAAGGGGTGAAAAGGGACGTGAAAGTTTGTATGGGGAATTAATAACCGCTGAACAGATTTAGATGATGGTATGGAGATAGCTTGATTCTTGAGGAAGGCCTTTTTTTTGACGTGGTGGAAGATCCCTTCGGATCTCCCGCTCCTCGGAGACCAGGAGCCAGGAGTATGTGGTGATTCCACTAAGAACCACACTGACGGCCGGCCTCTGGTGCCCTGGGAGGACCTGGACCATGTTATTTCAGGTTCTCCCCGAATTGACATCATGCCTAATCAGGCCCTATCCCAGGGAAAAAAACACTTCTCCCCCTCAATCGAGACGTGGCGGCCCAATTTCGTCGTAATGCAATCAGGCCGCCATCCTATCTCGTACCGCAACATTCAATCTGCCACCAGAGGTCCCCACTCTGGCGGCCCGCGGCCCCGTCGGCGGCTGGTATGGTCGCCGACGTCCTCAACGCTCGGGATCTGCTCTCTCCCGATCCCGTTCATCGGTCTCTTACTGGAGCATTACAGCTTCACAGAAAGAGACCACAGCGCCCCATCCCTCCTCACCCAGCATTGCAGCAATGATTGCTGGCGGAAACAGGTCTCGTCTGATTTGGTCGACCAGGACTTCGCGTTCAGACGCCCACGCGGGGCAGTCTTCCAGCGTGTGCTGGGCAGAGTCCCAGTCGGCTGCGCAGTGCTGGCATTGTGCCGTCTCCTCGTGTCCGATACGATTCAGGTACTCACCGAAGCAACCATGCCAAGTGAGTACCTGCTTCAGTCGATGGGTGACGCGACCTCCCTCCCTACCTACCCAAGCTTCGAGGTCAGGCAGAACAGCACCGACAGTGCGTTGGCGTGCATTCTGTGGCGGTTCCAGCCGTACGCGCCACTGCACCAGTGCCTGTCGGTGAGCGTTCTGCCGCATTTCGAGCACCTTCTGGTCTTCCCCCTGCTCTCACCCCAGCGAATCGCGCGAATCTGGTTATAGACCCTCGCGTCCATACCCGCCTGGATATCAAAGGGCGGGAAACGTGCCAGGACTGTCGCCGCCTCCGACGAAATAGTGCGGTATCCTCGTACGACGGCCGCTACCCGCTGCGATTGAGCTTAGCTAGGCAGCGGGAGGAGGCCGATAGGCGCTTGGCCCATATCAGCGTTCCGTAGAGGGCCATGGATCGTGTCACCGCACAATAGAGGCGGCTAACTTCCTCCCGCGGATCCCCTAGGCTCGGCAACAGCCTCTGTAGGGAGCCCGCCAACCCACGAACTCGGGGGATCATCCGCTCGAAATGCTCCTCGAAGCTCACTCACTTGCCTCACTCTACCCTCACTCAGCCGCTGGGCTGTCTAGAGTGAGGCCAAGGTATGTAATGTGTTGGCCAACCTCGACCTCTGTTCCCCCCACGCTAATAAGTGAGCGGGTGGGAACTGCACCTCTGCGTTTCCTATGGAACCACAAGGCTTCCGTCGTATGAGGTGCAACTAAGGAAGGACATGGCTACTTTTTAACGCGGAAACCGACATACAGGCGGGCGGAGCCAGGAGCTAGTAACTTATAATACATCAGATGCTTTTCTTCAAGCCATTTGATGATTGGACTCGAATAGGGCGCTCTTGACACTTATCCGGCTCTGGTAGTAGTAAAAAAATAATAAATAAATTATTTTCGGAAGCGTTGTACAAAATCGTCCTGTCTGTCTTCAAATATAACCGACAGGCGAATATGCCGTCGACAGGAATTACACATCGCAATGCCGCCAGTAACTCTAGTCCCAAAAAGTCCCAAAAATTACGGGCCTGTTGGTCTAGTGGTTAGGGACCCTGACTGCTAAGCCGGAGGTCGTGGGTTCGATTCCCACCCAGGACAAATATTGTCTGACGAGCACGGTTTTTTTGTTGTGTCTGGGTGTAATTTATCTAAAACATGTATGTGTTTAAAAATATATAAGTATGTTTATCAGTAGTCTTGTTACCATAGCACAGGCTCTGCCTAGTTTGGGATCAGAGGGCCGTGTGTGCGATGTGTGATATATATTATTATTATTATAAATTTGCGTTTTCATCATCTTTTGTATGTACTATGCTACACTAAACAGAAATATTAGAGTTATTCCATTCCTTTGTTCACAACGTCAGGTGATTATATTTATACCTATACTATAAACCAATATAGACACACACATTTAGTTATTTTTATCTTTACAATATTAATATCTATAAAATAACCTCATGCATGTATTTACCAACGCTGTTTTGCCAATATTATTGTTTTTCATTTTTAATCATTTTTCATATTTTTTTATCCCTTTTTTTTGTTTTTTTTTGTTGCCAACTCGTTTGGGACGGCAATTGTTTTCTTCTAAACGCATACTCGGAGGAAATAGATTGCTGTCTCAAATATAAGCAAGTAACACTGTATACCTTACGATTGAAAACGACGATGTAATGTCTACCGAACAACAATGTATAGCGAAATGTGTAATCGCAACTGGCACCCACAGGACAGGCTTGCCTAGTGTGGGGCCACCGGCAATGTATCACATATTTTGTACTTTTCTTTTTGGTAATAAATGAATTTGATTTGATTTGAATTTGATACAATATTTGATAAATTCAGATGGAATGCGTAGCGACATGCTAGAACGTGATATTGAAAATTCGATACGAAAAAAATTAAGGCAAATCATATTTAACAAATGTTAAATATATGCTTTAATACTTTAAATCCAAGTGGATTTAATCTAAAACCAAACTGTTGTTGTTGTGACTACTTGAATAAAAATTAAAAAAGAACCGTAGTTATAGTCTAGGTCTGAATGCAATTATTTATTAGACGGACTGTATTAGCTAGGGCTAAAAATAACTGACACTAGTTCGTGTGGCATAGAATAATATGGGAACCCCTCAAAAGTTTTTTTCGTCGTTCAGTTTTCTTCATCAAAACAGTATATTCTTTATTGTAATAGATCAAACATCTTTGCTAGTCGATACATAATAATACATATTATAAAATAAAGCCCCATGGTCGCCTGTTTGTCTGTCTAAACGCGATAAACTTCAAAAGTACCACTACTTCTTAGTCGGACACTCTTGCCAGAGTGGTTTTGGCTGTTGATGGGCAGGGTTGTGGTTCGCCGTCGACGCTTACTTTCAGGGCTGCAAACTCCCTTAGTCGGCTCTTATGACACCTACGGGATAAATAGGGGTGATGACACTCCGTATTCGGAGATAAAGCTCCCACTTATATTATTAACTGTAAATAGCATTCTTTGACTGTATTAGGCGTGGTTTAAGCGGTCGCCACGCCGCTTACTTCTACGCTGAGTGTTGTGGGTCCGATTCCCACATGGGACGACACTTTGTGTGATCCACAAATTGTTGTTCTGCTCTGGGTTTTCTTTGAAATAAAATGATATTTATTTCTGCAAGTAAATCTTTTCAGATATTTTTACAACTCAAAGCCTTTGTGTCCGTTTCATATTTGATTGTTTGTATTAAAGTCCCCCGCGACACAGGATATATTCCTAATGCGAGAGTTATCTTTTTAAATGGAAAGATAGAAAGAATTCTGTTTAGCAAAAAATTATGGTTTGCGCCTTGGTGCACTAACTATTCGTTTGACAAGAATATTTGCAGCCAAGTCTGAATTTATCTTTGGTTATCCACCATTTTTTTTCAAGGGTTTCTTATGCATGCTGAAGGTAATTCCTCCGGAGTTAACAAAAGTATACGGGGTTCCAGCTCCTTCAGTGTGAATTTTAAAAAGTACTTGGCTGAAACGTACGTTCAGAAGATGACTCATGTGAAGGTCGGTCAAAAACCGCACACCGGAAAATATCGTAAAATACGCGTTTGATATATCAGTTACATATACTTTTATATGCGATAACGATGTTAGTGTAATTATTATTTAATCTATGAATAATGGCCATCATTTTCCTAAATAATACTTCAAAACAACATTATGTGTCCAGTATTAACATCTAGAAAATTCTTTAAATAGTAGGTATTGATTTGCGTAAACTGTCGATTACCACAGATTCAAATACTAGTCTCTCTCTCTAATACTCATGAAAGTAACTTCACGAGGGCCTTCCACGATTTTGAATTTGCCATTGTTAAGAATATCTTGAACCTGGCAGTTGCACTTTCGCAATATAATTCTTAAGGTCACAAACATATTCCGATCATGTGCAAAATAATTCTTAAGGTCAACAAACATATTCCGATGCCTGAAAAGACATGAAGTGATTATCGTGTAATTTTAGTCACAAATAGCTTGATCTTTAAAATACAGAGCTGAAGGCATGTTTTGTTACGTAACTCAGATGTAATTCAAATGCTTAAATCGGCACTTATCAGGATAATTTTTAGGTGGGTTTTCTTTGTTTAAAAATATTACCAAACCTGTACTGATGCATTAACATTCAGTAATATTTTGTAGATAAAATAAGACACTTAATGGAAGTATATATAAGCTACTTCCTCCTAGTTTGCATGTTGTTAAGTAATGTTTTATTTGTGGCTTCTACGCTCTTGAGTAATTAATGTAAAACAAATTAGGGCAACGGTTACGCTACCGTAGTAACCACGGATATTAAAATGTACGAAATGCGACACGATATGCGCTCAAAATTTTTGTTGTTTTCTTATCAAGAGGCCATAGAAACTCGTAATTGGAAAACGTAGACAAAACAGATAAATGAAAACGTTGAAATAAATGTAAAGGCCGATAACGCGTTTGTGACTCCCAAATTGCAGACGTTCATGGGCGGCGATGGTCACTTTCCATCAGGTTACCCGTCTGCTCGTCTGCTTTTTTTATTTTTTGGAATTATTCCTTTATTTATGCTGTAAGACGCGTTTCTTTTACAAATTACGTGATTCTAGGTCAACGGGAACTACCATATAGGTTTTCGACTCAAAACCTATAGGGTACTTCTGGTTGCCCTAGAATTGACAATTTTGGTTAAAAGCAAGGTCTTACAGCACAAGTAAAGGGAAAATTCTGAAAAATAAAAAAAATGAATTAAGGTAAATTTTGGTACTTACAAGTTTTCGCGAGAATCGAAATTTTCCAATTTGCAAATTATTATTTCTTTCAAAAAGTAAATCGTGAGCAGTCGGCCTCTATAGACAAAATAACGTTCGCCAGAAGTGGCAATTACTAAATTAATAAAAAAAAATATAAAAACTAATTTAGTTTTCCATCCAGTAATGTCTCTATATCTGATGCGGTGTTTTCTTTACGCATGCGCCGCCGCGCCTGCGTGATGTCACAGTAAGTTCGTGTCCCAACATTCTCCTGGATCCTTGATTACGTACACTACTGTTGTAATCTCATTTGGGAATTATTACTAGTGTTTATTTTTAGCGAACAGTATTGTTACTCTTAAATTTTATTATTCTATGTGTCCGTGTGAAATGATAAGTGATAGTGTTTTGTGTAACTAAATTCCTACTACATACTTGCTGTTGGTCTGTGTGTATCTATTCCATTTTTGAAATATATTTGTTTTGTTATTTTTTTAATTTAGTTATAGGCGTGCTAAGTAGTCAGGTTTTGAGATATCGTAATAAAAAGGTTTTATATAAAAAGTATTGTTTAATATGGTGTTGGATGTCGCAGGTTATTATACGCATGCGTGGTTTTCATTCACGGCGCCCGGGTTGCCCTTAGGTCGATAATACAGTGGTACGTGTCTTGTAAATATAGGCTGTCTTATCACTCGCAGTGTTATTATGTGACGTTAGTACATAAAATAGAAAGAAAAACGTTGATATACTTTACCTGCAGATTTTTTCATATGATTTACAACTTTATCTAGTTACCCACAGAGCGGTTGCGTGATGTACTGTTATAATATGATACTGTTGTGTATTCCAATTAATTTCTAAATATGCCTTTTAATATAAGGGAAGAGTCCCTTATTTTAAAAGGCAGCAAAGGAGTAAAGTTCATGATAAATATGTTAGTTTCGTTCTCTCAGTTTATATCAAAGAGAAATCCCTTTATTACCTTATTCTTTAAACGAACTGCACTACCAGTACACAGTTTTAGTACGTTACAATCATGGTAATGATGTCCTGTTGGTATGTTGGATACAACTTTATCATTACGATAATAATTAGTGTTAATGATAGTAACTATAGATAGATCCACCTCATCCAAGCTAAAATCGTATATGAAATGTTAATTACATAATATATGCTGTTATATGCGATAACGAAGCAAAAATGTGTCATCATCATTAACAGCCTTTAATAGTCCACTGCTGGACATAAGCCTTTCCTTAGAAAACAGGTTTTGGCCTACTATACCACGCTGGCTAGACGGGTTGGACCCTATGGTTTATTTCAAGTTTTCCTTCTCACTACAGTGCTGTTAGTCCTGACCCTTAGTCGGCTTTAACGACATCCACAGGATGAACAGGGTTGGTGATACTCCGTATTCTTAATTCGTCGCCACACTGTAGGTAAAAATGTGTAGGAATGGAATATTCTCAAATCTTTGAAGGATTTGCCTTTGTTTTAGTAAATAAAACCTCAGAATTGAGTATAAATTCAGTATTAATAATTAAAAAATGCTGCATCCTATTCTATGTTTACAATAGTATGTTAGATAATATTGAACTCTTAAGGAATTTACAACACCATTAAACTGAACTTTAAATACATACTAAGGCTAAGGATAGTATAATAATAATATATAGTAACTCTAACGAGTCAACCTCCCAATAGCATTACACAGGTACATATTATAATTCCAACTACTATTATTTCCTGTTTATAACCATTCGACAATGTTGGAAGGTAATGCGGTGTTAATTCGAAATAGTATTATGATACGATTATCAGTCTAAATACACAAGCGATTAACAGCATTTACAGTGACGTTTGCGTATGATATGAAAAAAACAATTTAGCAATCAGATCGGTGAAGTAAACAATCGTAACCGATTCAAACCACACGGGTTTCCGTCGCAAGTAGATGGTAACTCACAGAGAAACCCGGTAGAAGCTGCAAGTTGCATTGCGTGCAGGAGGCCTAGCCTCCGTTCCGGTATAGATCCTCAAACGAAGAACACTTCTCCTTATCAAGCCTGCTTCTGCTACAGTACCCTCACCCGTTATCCCCAGGTTAGCGGTCATCAAAGTCGGAGGGGATTCTGTGCTCTTTAGCACTTGGTATCCTCTTCTTCGAGACGAGAGAATACTAACCTCCCGTTCTTTCTGATTCTTTTTTTGGAGACGTAACGTAACTTCATAAGTATCAGGCTGTATTTAGTAGATTTGAGTTAACGTGAAGTAGTTTATTGTGTGATTAATATTCAGGTGTTACTGCATAATAGATAACATTTTTATTAGTAGAACACCTAGTTAACAAACAATTCAGATTAGTTTGTATTGTCCGGCAAATACAATTTCCTAATTTAATGAACAAAAGCTATGACGAACTACTCTCTACTATTTTTGTTTAAATGTTTCCATTTCGCAGTAATAAGTATTAATCGTGTATTAAAATACGATATTAATCTTTTTAAAATCACTAGAAATTCAACTATTCCTATAAGTATTTGTAGTTAAAATTAGATCTACATCGCATTTGTGTTTTAAGGTTCACCACCTTAATTTTTTATGGAACTTAGAATTGAAACACCGACAAATATTTTTTGTTTATTCATATTGCATTCACTTTGCCCGCTAATTCGCACGCGTGAGTATTTCTTTTCCACCTGGCAACATTTTTGTTTATGGTGGTATTTTTGGGAGTATATTCAAATTTTTCTGGCCCTCAGATAAACGGTACGGCAGCGCGTAAAGTGCAAAACTATGAAATATTGATTTATATATTAAATATATAATAAGATGTCATTTTGTATAATCATGTTGAATTTCTGAAATTTGTATTTGCCTGTACTTTCGTTCACGTTCACGTTTTTAAATAACGTTTTTTTTTGTTTTAAGTTAACGTACGATGATTATGATTTAAAAACATCCGAAATTAGCATATGATTATTTACACATGAATTTACGTTGATTACTGTTCGTTAATAATAAAAAACCTTGTTGTGGTCCCATTTCAGAACAACATTTTTCTCTTCTGTTTCTGTCTTTTCTGAGTATAAACCGAAAAAAAACCCCGTAGGACATAGGATGTTTGTTGAGTTTTCAGCAGCAGGCTTTTCCACTAGATCAAATGCATTTGCCTACAACTTATTGTACTGTATGTAGTAGAATCGAGTTATTTTAAGTTTTTATCCTTATTATTTGAGAAATTATTCCTTAATGTATGATTTTAGGCTACTCTAGTCGTATGAGACTACTGTAGCTCTTGGCCATTTGAGAGCGTTCTTTTCCTTGAGTCATGCTCAAATTGCAAGATCAAGATCTTTGACATTATAAGGTTTGAATATATGATTCCAATGTCGACGTGTAAATGACCTTATGTTAACAAGCCAGTCGGAGGTGCGTGGGTGTGTGCGTAATCTCGTGTTCTCGACACGCTCTACATTTACGGATATATAAAATTTACTAGATAAGAACTAAGTTCACTATAACCCAGTGTTCTCAGATCAAATTTGAATATCATCACTTTATAATTGCCTTTTAAAAAAGTATGACCGACTTCAATTCGATCTTTAGACCGCGGCAATGACTTCAAGATCCACTCTTGTTGTATATTTCTTTTTCGAATTTGAATGGAACTAAAAAGAAGGTATAGCCTTTCAAATAAAACAAAGAATTTTCATTAATGACGGAAGTTCTATCTTTGTTCACATCTAAATCTAAAGATACACTCTTCTACAGGAAGCTGGGCTATACGGCAATGACTACCAGTCTACATTCACGTGATAAGTTTATAACTTCTACGTACATAAATATATACCCATTATCAATTCAGTCACGATCCGTACTCAATTATGTAGCAGTGTCGCGAATATTTTTACGACTATTTATTCTGTCAATGTCAAATGTAGACAATAATATTTAATTTTACTACGCAACGATCTTAAAGTTAATTTTGGCAGGCGTTTGTTAGGTCATTATTAATTATGAATGCTGTATTTCACTATGTGACGTAATTGTGCGTTTGAATCATCCGATTTCGGATTTCCACAACCTTTAAAATTTACCGAATTTAGACAAAATTCTAGCAAAATATGAAATGCACTTTTTACACTACACCTACACCTACCGACTATTACTTTTCCAAAATTTAGACTACTTTTTAGTGGGTAAAAAATTCAATTCCCGAGAGGCAGTACAAAATGCCTTTCAAGAGTTTGTTGCCTCCCGTCCAGCTGATTTTTACAAGAAGGGCATCAATAAACTGCCAATGCGTTGGCAAAGATGCGTCGATTGCATGGGTGGTTACTTCGAATAACAGAAATTAAAAAGTTTGATAAAATAAGTACTTTCACTTATTGCATACAAAACGGCAATTTCATAGGTAAAGACCTATTACTTAGAAGGACTAATAAATAAGACTTGCATTTTCTATTTCCAGTTTACAGTAGAGTATGTAAACACGGCTTATAACGCGTATTTAATATCTTGTGCTTGCAAAATTATGCCCTTAATGATTTGATTACTTATGAGATACCACGTCTTAGATAGTCGTCGGATAGCTTGTTTCATAATAATTTATTGTATAAAGATTTTTTATTAGATAGTTACGGCCATGGTAGACATTTGTTCTTGTTTAGAATTTGAATTAGAAACACTGGCACTCGAAAAGGGTATGATATTGCTGGCAATCCACAGATTACCCCCTTAGGGGTTAATCTGTGTTGCAATCATTATATGACATGCAGTTAGTCTGTAGTCTTGGTAGAATTCGTTTCGTACGCAGTTGATTCGATATTAATATTTTGGATATCTACTTTCTAGAAGTAATTAGTGAGCATAGGCCTCAGAAAGTAATTTCTTCACTCATTAGATACTTACAAGTGGATAAGCAATTTCATTTCAATATATATGACGTATTATTTTACTTTTATAATAAATCAATAAGTATACACATCATCTTATCGTTAATATTGATATTAAGATAACAGTTGCCTTCTTACGTATGTTATAGTTATACTCCACGTAATATTAGTTGTTTAATTCTTATCGATCATATTGAGTGATTCATCACTACACTACTGCTAACTTAATAAAACCTTTTTATCGCGAAAGATCTACCTTACAGACAAGGTCTTAAAATTTCTACCGTTTTCAAAGTTCTTAAACGCACAGACAAACAGTAATTCCAATTAATACACACGTTGTTCGAACACCCCGATAATAAACCTCTTAATAGGTAGTGTGGAAGCAATAAAGTGACTTATTACTTTATATGGTCTGCATCAGCCGCCATTCGCGTAGCAGACTGCGTCCTGTGCGCACGTGTCAAAATATTTTGATCGCCCTAGTGAAAGTGACTTTAATATTGTGAGTGTGCGGATGAGTTTAAGGTAGCGTTATGGAAAGTGCGGTACACGCAGCGGTGCCCCTTAGGGTAGGGAAGAAGATGAGAAAACGGCGGGAACTTGACGCCTTAGTTGGAGGAGGTGGATCACGAGGTGGTCGGCTACTATCTGCCTCTAGTGACGAGGGTGAACCCTGGGGCCGGAGAACTTCCCGCCGTAGGCGCTCACGACCGTTCATGCGGTTAGCTGCAGGCCTTGCTTTCTGTGTGTGTGTAGTGTCAGCTGCTATTGTACTTTGGCTCTTCGTTGATGTCCGGAGGCAGATCTCTTCTCTTCGCCTTGAAATGGATGGAGGTTAGGATTTTTTTAATAGATGTTAACTTAGATATTGCGATAAAATAAGGCACCTTTATTAAAGTGTTATGTTTAGTAAATACAAATGTGCGTTAGTGCGCCTTTGTTTATTTACTTTGAAATACTGCTGCTACTGATGACTGGCAATTTATTATTTAAAATGTTAATTATCATTTTTACAGCAAAAGATTTTCATGTTTCATGAAACAATATAAAATTATTTAGTATTATTAATAACATGTGTGTGAGAAGGTAAGCTTCACTCAATATTAAGGTATATTTGAACAAATCTTTGAGCGTGGAAAAAGTTCTATTACCTACTTTTTAGCTGTCGAGGTAGACAAAATATTATATGGTTTTAAATTATTTATTTTTCTTTTATGAAGTAGGTATGTTAAAATAATAACAAACATTTTCTAGAAGCCATTAACAAAATTAAAATTCAAGGTTAAACTTTTTGAAATATTAGAAGTGCCAATCAAGCCTAGATATGAACATAACGATTATATTACATTGTAAAATGAGTATAGGTTTGCAAGTTGTCAGACCCACACTCTGCTTTCCTGATTTTTATGAACTAGATATGGCAAACTTAAATTGATGTCAGTGCCTCTATTTTATAACTTCTTTTCTATGACACTTAGGTTTATTCTTACCGGGTAAGTCTTCTTGGGTGACCTTAAATCAACTGAAGCCTTTGTCATATATATCCTAGCTAGTGATTATAAAAATAGAACTGCAGATTTCTGATCGCTTAGCATGCGTGTAATATGAAATATTGTCAGGATGGTTATGATCCTTTATACTCTATTGGACAGCCCATGACACCTCACAAGGTTCAAAAACACGGTATTTTCCTAAACGCAACGAAATTTCTTGTAATAACTGTATGACTAAACTAAAATGAACATCGATTTATAAGATTATAATCTATAAAATTTGACCGCGACAGTTTAATTGACAGTGCATATTATAGAAACATTATTTATTTCAACATCCACAAGACAATAAGCTTACATCACTTGATGTGTCATACGACTAATGGGAACGCGTAGGTGTTCCTTATGCAAAATTTATCTGGTATTCTCTCCTATGCTGGGATGTTAGATACAATAGTACCTAATTGTGCAACAATGGACGTAACACCCACTCATGGCGTACTGTTTATTAATTTCAAAGTAATTTTTGATAAACTATCTCTGCTGTACTCTGGAGGTATTGTCTGTAGTTATCTGTCAGTTTAGAATTGTCTCTTACCTAGATCTCACGAATCTTCAATACAAAAAGTTTTACTTTATTAACTTACGAGGTTAAGAAGTTATTACAATATTTTAGTATGCGTATGCGCCTTTTTTTATTTAATTTGAAATACTGCTGCTACTGATGACTGACGATTTATTATTTAAAATGTTAATTATCTTTTTTTACAGTAAAAGATTTCCATGTTTCATAATACAATATTAAATTATTTGTAATATTAATAACATTCGCAAGCCTAAAAGATGCCACCACATAGTAAATTTTCTTTATTCTGTGTGTAGTGTGCTTTTTTATTGGTGGTGATAATTATAATAATATTCTACCATATTCACACAACGCCATCTAGTCCCAAACTAAGCAGAGCTTGTACTATGGGTACTAGACAATTGATATAAATCCATATTTACTTTTTTGTAAATACATACATATTATACATAGAAACACCCAGACCAAATCAAACATTAAATGTTCATGCACACAAATGCTTGACTTGAGCGGGAATCGAACCCGCGACCTTTGAAATAGCAGTCCGTTACACAAACCACTACGCCATTCGGTCGTCAAGTCGGTGATGTAATCAAAACTACAACAGAGGGGTGAAAAGTTTTAGCTGTTATTGGTTGAAGCATTTTTTCAACGTTGACCGGTTATTACCAGGCAGTCTTTGAACTTATTATGAACTCTTAACCGATATTATTAAAAAAAGTCTAATATTTGGGAGTGTTACCATACCTACTATAAAAATGATGATGTAAATTATACTACTTTATTCGTCTTCATTACTTCGTTTTACTCATATGAACATAAACCTAATAGTTACTTCATTATTGTCTCACGCTCTGCTAAAAAGGGAAATGGATTTATTGTATATCCAACTCCTCGAATTTATTTTTGATTAATTTCGTTGCGCTTTTCAAGACGTTTTAACTTTACCTGAGAATTCTCAAATGTCATAACTCGGTGTGTTCGTGGATCACTGTTATTAAACAGTAGCGGGCGTATGGGAGGAATAAGCCCCGTTAAAAACTACTAATCACGTGTAAACCTGATCACTATTAAATAAGGAAGCTAATGTTACCAACAATTAATTCATGCATATCAAAAAGGTATTTCCTGGTCCTAAGGTTTGTTTACGTTTCCATATTAGATTAAACACAAACATAGAATGTGTACGTGTGGAGCCGCTGTTAGCAATAAAATTAAGGTCAAATACCTGAAGGTAGAACCCTGTGCTCAGTGGTATAATTAATTATTATTTATAATGCTGGTTTTATAAGAAGGCCTTTTTTAAATGGGTTTTCGCCTTCTAGGTTATCAAGTCATCATTATAGATGTAGGTAGCTATTAAATATGTCGATTGTGTAAGTTGTGGACTTATTCTTCTGTATATTTTTTCTTGTTACTTATTTATGAGGGTAATGTATAATTAATTTTTACTCTTATTTACTTACTATTATCTATCCTTGGTCGTGATTAATAGTAGGTGCTGTAGAAATAGTATCGTAGGTTTTTACGCCTAAAACGCCTACGCCTTAAACACTTCTCTGGCAATGCGTAATGCAGAGTTTAAATTAACCTTATCTAATAAAATACACACTCTTGTCTATATCATAATGGAGAGCTTACAAAACCGCTGATATAAGTCGTCCAAATATGAAAGCACATCACATTTGGCAAAAAACCTTAATGAAGTCGTATACGAACTGACACGAACCAACCACTAAATGTATATCCAATTCATATACTATTTAAAACCATCTAGCTTTACATAAGTTTATTGTTTAGTATTGGAAGGCCCAGCTACCTGTAACACAGGTAGCTGGGCTTCCTTTCCTTCCTTCCTTTCCTTTCCTTTCTCAAGCACCAATAACTCACAAACGTGTTCATTTTAGTGGTGTGACGATTCGACTCTTCAAGCCGATATAAACCGGTTTGAGCATGAACCGAGTTGAATCGGTTTGCAAGTGGTTTAAACAAGTTGAGCAGTGCCATAAGATCGCGCTGCACTTCGCGTCGTATTATCGAGCTCGCGACTCCTGCTTTACCGACTGAACAAATCTGATTTATCTACCAAATGATACTGAACCGAGTCGACGCGACACGACATTAAATCTTTATCAATTAAACCTACAAGGACACACTATATTATTATGTCCCTACAAAATTGGATACGGTTATCCCGCTTCGTTTAATAATAAACTAAAACATAAAAAGATTTACTAACCGTTTGGATAATATTTTTCTTATATCCACCAAATGAAAAAGAAGGCATGGTAATCGTGTTGCTTGATTGGGTAAGTTGTTGTATTGCCCTTAGCTCTTAACAAACTACCAATCATTTCATACCGTCGCCGCGTCGGTCGTCGGTTAGTGTAGGTAATGTTGCATTTGACTCCCAACTGCGAGAAATCCTCATCGCAGTTGGGAATATGCTGGACGGACGCCTGGCTGGCCTGGAGGCGAGATTGCCTCCTGCGCCGAGTATGCGCCCCCCGCTCGCGTCGACACAGCGGCCTAAGGTCGTCGCTCCGACCGCGCTCCCCGTAGTGGGAGGCCGCGTCTCCTACGCGGCGGCGGCGTCTGCCCCGACTCCATCGGCTCCACAAAAGCCGAGGAGGGGGGCCAAGGCACCAACCCAGGCGCCGGCCAAGGCACCGGCTAAGGCGCCGGCCAGGGCGCATCCCCAGGCGCCGGCCAAGACGGGGCCTAGAACAGCGCCGAGGAGCGGAGTGGCATTCCCTCCGCTCCCCACTCCGACACCCCTGCCGGGCCCCTCCGCACCTGCCCCCTCCAACGAGGGTTGGCAGGAGGCGAGGGGCTCCAAGAAGTCCCGAAGGCGGGCCAAAAAGGCTGCCAAAAAAAGCAGCCCAAGCCCAGCCTTCGCCACCGGTGGCAACGGCCTCCACAAAGAGGCCGCGGAAGCTGCAGCCGCCCAAAACCGCGGCTGTAGTGGTGACCGTGTCCCCGGAGGCGGCGGACGGCGGGCTGTCCTACGCGGCCGTCTTCAAAAAGGCCCGGGACAGCCTCGCCAACGATTTTGGAACGGTGGGGGTCAGAATGCGCCTCGCCCAGACGGGAGCTCGAGTCCTCGAGTTCCCTGGGGCTGAAGGCGCTAAGACGGCGGACACATTTGCCGAGAAGCTGCGGGGACTCTTTACAGCCACGGATGGTGTAAAGATCGCCAGGCCTACTAAGTGCGCAGAGCTGCGCATCTCGGGCCTGGACGCCTCTGTGACGGCCGAAGATGTCCGCGCTGTAATCCGGGAGAAGACGGGGTGCAGCGCGGACAACGTCAGGGTCGGCACCATCCGCCCCGGTCCAGGAGGGCTTGGCGCCGTGTGGGTCAGCTGTCCCGTAGCGTCGGCCAAAGTATTGGCCGACGCCGGCAGGCTGCTCATCGGTTTCGTGAGCGCCAGGATCACAGTCCTGGCGGCGAGACCGATGAGATGCTACAAATGCCTAGCATCGGGACACACGCGCGTCAAGTGCGACAGTTGCTTTGACTGCGGCGGACTGTGTTTCCGCTGCGGTCAACCGGGGCATAAGGCGGCAGAATGCTCTGCCGCCCCTCACTGCCCAGTGTGTGCGGCGGGCAATAAGCCCGCCAATCACCAGATGGGGCAGAGAGGCTGCAAGCCTCCCCGCAGTTCTCGGCAGACGTCAGGGGCTAGCCAGTCGACCCAGGCTGCCTCCGACGTAGTACGTGCGTCGTCGTCGTCGCCCATGGAGGAGGTTGTAGA